ATATATAAAATTAATTTTGTTTTCTAATACTACAATTAGTAATCGTTATATATTATATATAATTTATTTTGATATATTTAAATCATTATTGTTTATAGTCAGTAGTTCTTACAACTTTTTTGTAACAATAATAGATGGATGGATGGATGAACGGACAGAAAAGAAACTATTGCATTAAATATATAATTTCTAAGAATCATAATATTAAATAATAACATATAATAAAATGATTGATGATTTAATTTCATAGTACAATATTAAATTGTAGTAATATTTAATAATTAAGTTAAAAATTGTAAGTAGAAAAGAGATGAAACAAATTCTATTATAATATCACATAAATTTTATCAGTTATATCATACAAAATGATTGTCATCTTCAACTATATTAATTAACAAAACAAATAAGAGATAAGACAATTGTCTCAATTTTTTATATGAAAATTGGATCAATACAATAACATACTCATTGAAGAAATCATTATGAAGACAATTTCACATAATGAACATAAATAAAAAAAAACAATTAATACTTACTGACTCTTTAATTCAAGATAAATATCATTCTGCTAAGAAATAATAATAAAAAAATGAATATAAATAAGAGAGAATAAATGATTGTCCTCACCGTGTCTCCAAGGATTAGGCGGCTCCAAATATCCCGTAACCAAATTGATGTCATTTGTTGGGAAACTCACTCGTCGGGGAGGCCATTTCTTCGTATATGCTAAAGCGCTCCGTATTTGTCTACCATCAATCCATATGTATGGGGATTTCGGAACATTGCCTGTACCAAATCGTGGCCTTCTACCAGTGTATGTTGTCGTAGTAGTCGTTGCCTTCGTCTCCGCCGTCGTCTCCGTCGTCCTCTTTGTCGTTCCCGTAGTCGTCGTTGATAGAGGCACATTAGGTTTGTCCTCAGTGTTCAAGGTCGTAAGCGAATTCTCGCAAATACGCGTACCCGAATCCGCTCCTTCGCTCATACTTCAAAAAGTCTCTAACATATTTTTTCGATCGAAATTACACTTTATGCACAAAACACACACCGTTAGCGATCCTTTACTCACTTACGAATGCCCGAGGACTTGTCAACTTACGTTACAGAAGACGAATACTAACTGCTCGCATTGAAATCGCCATCTTTGTTGCCATTTAGCAAGTCGACAACCATAGAAATTTTACTTACCCCGAGTATATGCGAACGAACTATCTATTCTGAAGTTCGCGCGCCATCGAACTATCGAATTTCTCTCTTTTCTTTATAATCACTTTAAACTGACCAATAGTATTGTTGATGATAGAAAAACGACAAATAGTGATTGGAGGAAATTCAATCAATATTTTGACGATTCAAAGTTTACGAAAAAAAATAAATTCATATTTTTTATGTATATATATACATATATATTAATTAAAGATTATGTAAATATATAATAAATGTATGTATTACTTTGAATTGATGAAGACACTATATTTTTAAAGAAGTCACCTCATTGATGCTTCCTTTCTATTAGATACAGTGATTGGTTAAGTACATTGATTTATCTATACTATAGATATCGATCAAACTATACTTAAAAAAAAACAAAAATTTAGTCAATGACATCATACGAATATTCTTTACGTCATTTCATTTCTTGCATTGAAGTGTGAAGTGATTCTTAGTGGCAGCGTCTATTTGAAATATGTCTATATAAGGTATAGCAAACTATACTTAATAAAATTTGTTAAAAATTGACTTATTTTAAATTTATTATGAAAATATTCTTAATAGAGTATATCCTTTGTTATATGTTTTGTAAATATTTCCTTTGTTTCTATGGATAAAAGTTTAAAATTTGTATAATCTTATAATTTATAGATTCTCTGTGGTGCACATTACGAATATAACTTCAACATTTAATTATATAAAAAAAAAATGGAGACTATTATACAACAAAAAGTAATTGAAGTTGCAAATACTGTTGAAAAACAATTGGATGCAGAATTAGAGAGGCTGGATAATTTAGATATTAATGATATCGAGAAACTAAGAGAAAATCGTTTGCAAGAACTTAAAAAATTACAGAAACAGAAACAAGACTGGCTTTCTTTGGTACTTGTAACATTGACAAGAACTATTTTGTTTTTTCTTCATTATATTAATAATATATTTCTAATTTGTATATATTTTAGGGTCATGGAGAATATACAGAAATACCAGATGAAAAAGAATTCTTTGAAATTTCCAAGAAATCTCAGAATATTGTTTGCTTATTCTATAAAGATGATTCGCCAAGATGTAAAATTGTAGACTATCATTTCAAGATATTAGCTAATAAGCATTTGGAAGCAAAATTTTGTAAATTGAATGTTGAACGTTGTCCATTTCTTACCGGTAAATTAAAACATTTTGAAAATTATAAATATTCCTATTATTTTATTTCAGAGGCAAAGTTAATAACTATATATACTTTCAGAACGTTTGCGCATAAAAATCATTCCTACAATAGCACTTATAGTAAATGGGAAAACAAAAGACTACATTGTTGGTTTTACTCAATTGGGTAATTGTGATGATTTTTCTACTGAAACATTAGAAGTTCGAATTGCTCAATCTAATGCTATTAGTTGTAATGATGATTTTATACATTCTTCTAACAATACTAAAAAGCCATGGTTGTCTCATATAGTAAAACCTAAAACTATTAAAGGACATGAATCTGATGATTCTGATGATGATTAAACATATGATCACTATTAATACATATATTTTTATTTACATTAATAGTTTTAAAGTTTATATTTTTTAAATGCTTATTGTATGCTATAATAAAAATTGTTTGATTATTTTCAATCGAAATCTTAAATAAAAATATTTGATGTGTCATCTGTATTTCATATATCTTATGGTATAAAAAATGTATCTTCATTTATGATATATTTAATACTTTATTAATATTACTATTTGGTAATAACTATATATATTAATCTGCAATTAAAATTTTAATATGCCACATTAACATAGCATATTATTTCTAAGATTATATGAAGTATAATATATATATATATATATATATATATATATATATATATATATATATATATATCTTAATTAATTATATAGGACGATCAAAAGTTATAGATATTAGAATTTATATAAAATATTTCTTTTTTATAATGAATGTTAAGGAAATGACTGGAATTTTTAATCAAATGTAATTACTTTTATGAAATAATTCATGGCACACATTTAATGGTGTATGCATTTCCGTGTTGCACTTAATACAATAAGCACATAAGCATTTTAAGTACATACTTAAATTTAATTTAATAATTTATATATATTTTTACTTCATTATATAAATAAAGCAAGAATGTAGGATAATGCATGAAATATATTATGCACATATGATATACAGAGAACTACTTTGAAGAGGAAGAGAAGATATTAATTAAACAAAGTGCACAATTTTATAAAAAATAAGATTATAATGAATTTAAATGTCTTTTTTAACTATCTATATATGAAATCTTTTTTATAATAAATTTAATAAAAAATATTTTTGTTCAATCAAAAATTAATTTTACTCAGATATTTATAAGTAATTTTGATATTACAAAATCTATGATTATATATATAGATATATATGTGTGTGTGTGTATGTGTATACATATAATTAGAGATAATTATGTGTTATAATAATATATATATATATATATAAACACACATATCACACATATATGCATATGTAACAACTGCACATATAACACGAATGAAAAAAAAGAACTAAACCAAAAGCAATAAGGTATATTTTATAGAATAAAGACTTAACAATTACACTTATCTATATCTTATGCAATATTGATCACAATTATGATACTTATAGATATTTTGTACAGTCACACTGTTAGTAATTTATCTGTTTTATCATTATAAATATAATAGTATTAACTTCTTAAGAAACATAAACAGTACTTAGTTTTGAAAAATTTTAATAATCTACTAACATAGATCGAAATACATCTGCTCAAAATTTCAAAGTATACATCAGATGTATGTAACATACTATTACATTAGATTTTTTTTCAATTAATATGAATCAGTGATATACATGGATAAGAACGTCAGTGTCTTTTAGCGTAAATAATTATTTATTCATGATGTACTGCAAAATTTTTATATATAATTGTATCATACAATTTGCACAATTATCATATTAATTGATTCACAAAAATCTTAAATATCACTTTGGGAACTATTAATCATTGTAATATAACATGTTCAATATAAAAGTATCACTTTTAATAATTGGATGAATATAAATTGAAATTCAATAAATGATGAATTTAGTATTTATATAGTATGTCATTATATGAATACTTGAAAATATATATATTTTTGTAATATATATATATGTATACTATAAAGCTTTAAAATTTTTTGATATTATATATCTAGTATTTTAAATTATATAGGCATACACAAGTTAATATAACAACAAAAATATGAAGAAACACGTTCCTCTATAATAATAGAATAAAAATGAATTTTCGTATATCTGAATAACGAAAATATAAACTAACAAATTCTGTAAAATATTTCATATTTTTAAATTAAATAATCATTTTTTAAATTGAGCAAGAATGCATGGTTAATATTGTGTTAAACTACCAATTTGTATTACAAAAGATACATAATTGAGAGTTGCTATATATACATAGCCACTGACTGATATACATTTTTTTTACTAAACTGTAAAATAATATAAAATATTTTATAATTAACTGACAAAATAACATTTTTCTATATTTATTATTTATCTACATGTTTAGTGTTGTATCAATTGATTGGTTCTCATTGTAATGAGATGACAGTGGATTAATTAATAAAAATGCCTACGTTATAATCAATTAATACAAATGTGCTTTTCTCCAAATAAAAATACTTCTTTTTTCAAAGTAAATTATAAAATTGTTTTCTACTTAATTTAATCCTAAAAATAATGATAAAAGATAATATTTAGACATAATATTATATTCATTCATATATTCACATTATTTTAACAACTTATATATTAATGTTTTCATTTATGAAAACAAATTTGACCAGCCACTTCAAATGCAGTTTACCTCACTGTATATAGTTTGATATCCGAGAGAGTCATAGTATTATATGTCTTCTACCTTTAATACGATTTACCAAATTACAGATCTTAAGAGCAGGTCCAAGTTTTAGTCCCATATATTTCATCATCATATCAGAATTTAAAAGAAGTAAAGCCTTTCCATCGATTTCCTGAAAATAATATTAAATAGTCACTGTCAATGTTTTCTTTTTTATGATATTTTTAATTTCAAGTAAAAAAAAAGGGAAAAAAAAAAAAAGAAAGAAAGAAAAAAAAGAAAAATTACATGTTTCCTAAACAAATCTGCATGCTGTCCCAATGCAGGATCTGTTAGGGCGATATAATGTATAACATCTTCTATGGTCCATTCAGCAGGTTCTGTGGATAGTGTACGATTTGCTGTATTTTCTGACTGTGTTGTTGATGTTGCAGCTTCCAATTCTAAGCATAATTATAAATTTGGAAACTGTACTTAATTTTATATTAAATATTATTAAATAATTATTTTATGAAATGAATTCTATATCATTAATTTTAAATACTTTTCTCATAAGAAAATTCTGATAAAATTTGCTTACCAGGAACTGATTTGCGTGGTTGTTTCGCTGGTGTTGGAGATGAAAGTGTTGTATTATTTATACTTTGCACAGGTTGCTGTGCTTGCTGTTGCATACTAGATGAAAGAGTTTGTTGACTTTGAGACGACCATCTTCGTTTTTCAGCACTGTTATTACTTGTTTCTTCACAATTCGTTGATTGTGGCTGTTGAGTATTTGGACATTTATTACAAGGTTCTTTTCTCCTGGATAGCATATGTTCACAAGCACAAAGATCTTCAAGTTGCCGCCTGATATACACATAAAAATCCTCTTCTTCCATAAATAAAGGTAATCTAACAGAAGTAGGTTTACTTTCTAAAATTAAATTGATATTTTCTCCTTCGCCACGTTTTAACAAACTTAACATTTGTCTTGGACTCATTGCTGCCATCAGAAAAGCTTGGAAAATATCTCTTGTGACATTTAATATAGGACCTGTACCAAATTGTGCTGGCATAGCTTTTACTTTACGAGGATCGAAATAAGGACCACATGTACAATTGTGATTCACATAAATAGTAACTGTAACATTATAAAATGTTATTTACATATTATTCTATTAAGAAAATCATTTCTAAATTTATTCCTTTAAAATTGTATAAATACCATTGTCAAGAGGATGTGGTTTAGTATTAGCTGTACTAGTATCTGGTTCTGTAGCTGGTTGTGGAGGTGGACTTGAACCAGCTGGACTTACCAAAGCAACTGCTGGTTCTCCACTAGCACCACCACCAGACACTGCCATTACTGGCAAAACATTACTAGTCCTTGACTTAAATCTGTTAGGACCTGTTGCTGTATAAATGAAATGCTTATATAAATATTATAAAAAGAGAATAGGAAACATAATTCATTTTATTAATCAATTATTATACAATAAATAAAAACATAACTTACATTTTTGTCTTGGCGGTTGTAGTGGATGTCCACTTTTAAAGCACCATCCTGCAGGAAAGATATCTCTAGAATCAAAGCGACACCAATAATCAAATGCTCCACGCCAACCATCAAAGGTTATATGAATCATATCATCTTTCACAGCACCAACAGTAGCAGTACATATAAGTTGTGGATTTTTTTTATCTATAGCTTCCAATTTATGCCCAACTTCAAACATATTAGAACGAGGTGTCTTTGGTTCACGTTTAAATACTTTAGCAGGTGCCATTTCAGCTCCATTTAATGTTTTCAATAGAAACATTGGCCAACTGGAAGCATTCATACGAAAGCCCAAGGGAGGTTGAAGCATACCACCTGATTTTTCGCAGTGTCCAATTGGATGAATTTCATTACTGTCAACTAAACGCCAAAAGTCATTTTTATTATCAGATCCATCAAGTCGTAGTCTTAATCGAGGACCAAGGACACCAACTACTGTTGCAATACAAGTTGATGTTAAATTACGAGGATCTAAAGCCTCCAATTTCATGCCCATTTTAAATTCATTTGTTGGTGGCACTTCGTGCTATGAAATATTTTAAATAATATGTATTATTCATTAACAAAAATAATCTAATTTTTGTTTATATATTACAGCATACCTGTTTAAAGCATTCAACAGGTGCTGCAGAACTATTTGTTTCTTTTAAATAAAGATCCCAATCAAAAGTTTGATATGTTTCATATTGAAATGGACCAGTTGAAGTAGATGGTGGATGAGATACATTTGTATGATTATTTGTATGAGAATAAACTTGTGTTGCAGAAGCTACACTGTTATTATTTGATAAGTTGGATGGAATTGGAGAAGATGCAGGTGATGATTGATCTTTATTACCTGAAAAAACATAATATGATGCACAATCTTATAATATAAATTATAAAATATTTTCTCTCAATAGTAAATCTCTAAGTAACCAAATTTTGTTTTCAATATTATTCTATTTGTAAGCAATATTTCAGGTAACTAACTTTTTTTCATTTCAACTTGACTTTCCTTCTTTTGATGTTTATTAAGGCAAAATGACGAACAGAAATCTTTTGTAGGACCATCTTTCTGTTCCAATTTAACTGGTGTACCTCTGATTACATTATCACATTGTACGCAAGCACCACGTACATAGGCTTTACGAAATTCTGATAAACATGTTTCAGAACAAAATTCTTTTTTTCCATGCTGAGTGGGAAGAACATATTTTAATGGCTGTTTAGTTTCTCCACACCAAGTACAAGAATTTTTTGATTTAGGTGGTCTTCCAGGACCTGTAATATTTAATAATATTAAATATTTATAAATATAATATCTCCATTATATTAAAAAGTTAAAAAATAATTTTATATATATAATATTATATATATATATAATAGATTTTTCTGATGCATTAATACTACAAAGATATTATATTACAATATATGTAATCATATACCATATAATAAATGTAAACTAATAATTAAATAAATTCTCTTTGAAGTAATGAAAGGTTACTTTTGATAGTTTAACATACCTCGCATTTTACTCTGAGTTGACGACATATTTTCACATAAAAAATTATGATCAACAGTACAGTCAGTACACGACAATGCTAATATATCCTAGTAATTAAGGTCATCTTCATGTCCATTAACGAAATAAATTTTGAAGCACATACACCCAGATTCGATATTTCAAATTCTCTCACTTTTGTATGTAATAAAAAATACACACTATTGTTATATATGCATATAAGATACTATTTGCTTATAAATATCAATGTTAAGAATAACTTTATATGCACTATTCACAATCTTTTCATTCGAACCAAAATAATACTCTCCGAAATACAAGTTATTGTGCCAATCCGCCATATTGCTTTGATTTGACCGCGCAATCCACGGGCAAGATATTACGTAGATTTGAAATACTAAACATATTTCTTTAATAAGTTTGAAAGTATTAACACTTGTATATTTTCCCTATTAAATTAATTTAAAAAATGATTTAAACATTTTTTTCCCTTAAATTTTAATATTTATTTTACATTATATTTCCGTAATAGATAAGGCATCAATTATTAAAGATAATAGATACCAATTCAGTTCTCGTCATAAAATTTAGATGGCATTAATGTTTCGTTCTATATAGAAATTTATTCATTAAACAGATGAGTCACGATATAAGAAACTCACGTATTCGTAACATAGAATAGATAATAATGTTTTTAACGAATATATTATTAAAGAAAGCAAAAAGCAAGTAAGCATTTCTTATAAATATACTAAAGCTATATAAATAATATTTATAAATCGTTATTATTTTATATTAAAATATACATTGTGCGTGAATAAATCATTTGAAATGAACTGTTTCTGATATTAATGCATTTGAGATCATTTATTTTTAATTAATTTATTTTTTGTGTGCTTAGATTACTCTTAGTTTTAACAGAAAGTGTAGTAAGTGGTCATACTAAGCATATGATCAGAGAAAGAAATGCTGATAAAATAGAAGTGATAAAATTTGATCCATATAGTAAGTTATAAGTAATGATCTTTAATAGAATTACTCTATTCTAATAAAGAAATTAAGTAAAATACACATCGGTCTTAATTTGTCAATTATATATATATATATTTTTTTTTTAGTTCAAACAATGGCAATCTATAAAGAAAAGAAAAAAATACGAGGTATAGGTTGATAAACAAAATATAGATTATTAATATAAATATATTAATCATAATAAATATATAAAATGTAATATATCTCATGTATTTTATTGTATTAATGTTAATATGAAAATAAAGTATATGATATCTGAACACAAATTATGGATATTTATTACATTCCTTTTTACATTGTTTTTTTTTTTAAGATCAATATAACGAAAAAGTAAAAAAAAAATCTTAATTGAAATGTTAAATATTATTGTAATTTTTTTTATCTATTAACTAAACATCTCTAATAATCTTTTGCAATGTCGTAATTGTAAATACTACATATTAATAATTCGTTAATGATTCGTTGGAATGATAGGTAATTTTAAAACAAATAAAATCGTTCCTTAAATATGAGTTGAATTAAATGAATAAAGAGAACAAAAAAATAATAAAAAAAATATATAATATTACACGCAACTAGATTGACATAAAATTATAATTGGATTCGAGTAAATATGGTTATAATTGATGAGCTTTCAAACGACATCTATAACGAATTTCGGAACACAGTTTAGATTGTTTTATGAAAGCGACAATCGAAGACTACGAAAGCAAATCTGAAAAGAGAGTTTTGTCAAATAATTAAAAAAAAGAAATTGTCATTCTTAAAGAAAATAATTGTAATATATTAAAAAATATGTCTTTGGCAAAGGTTAGTTGTATCGCTAAAGATAATAACGAAGTATTTATTAAAAATGAATTGTCTTACAATAGATTGAGTTTGCAGTCAACATGACTTGTCAAAAATGTGTTAATACTGTTCGAGAGAGTTTATTAGATTTGAATGGTATTGAGAATTTAGATGTCTCGTTAGAACGTGGTACAGTTGTTGTTGAAACTAATCTTCCATTTACTTTGATACAAGAAAAGATAGAGAAATCTGGAAAGAAAGCTGTTTTTAAAGGATATGGAGGTAAACAAATATATTTATATAAACGTAATCAAAATGCAAAACAATAATAAATAATTAAATTAATTAAATTTTTCCTTTTATAAAATATATTTAATATTACAAATTTTTTGATTATACTTTGAGATACTATTACAAATAATTTTATAGAAAACAATTATAGTGCAGTTTCGATGTTAGGAGGTAACTCAGGATATAGTGTAAGTAATAATATAAAAGGTATTATAAGATTTGTGCAAACTGTAGAAGGATGTATAGTAGATGGAACAGTTGATGGACTTGAACCTGGACAACATGGAATACATATACATGAATGTGGAGATATCTCTAAAGGATGTGAAAGGTACTACAGAGTACTTTACAAATTATTAAATAATTTCTAAATATATATTTTTTATATAATTTATTTGTCAATAGTGTAGGAGAGCATTTTAACCCATATAATAGCATACATGGCGGACCTGAAGATGATATATCTAAAAAGGTAAAATTATTAACAAATAATATGTATATTGAAAAACTATTTATTTTATACTTTATAGTATTTCTTATTTTAAATTAATTTTAGATATAAAATTTTTCTTTCTTTATAACAGCACATTGGTGATCTTGGAAATATAGAGGCAGACAATAATGGAAGAGCTTTATTTAGAAAAGTCAATCAATTCCTTACAGTGTCGGATATTATTGGAAGATCGCTTGTTATTACTGATAAACCAGACGATCTTGGCAAAGGCAATGATCAACAATCACAAATAGATGGAAATAGTGGAAAAAGGTAAGAAATATGAAATATTGTAAATATTTTATTTCTTATCTTATCTTTTATATCTTTATCTTCTTTTTTTATAGATTGGCATGTGGAATTATTGCTCGTTCATCTAGTTTGTTTCAAAATACAAAACAGATATGTGCATGTGATGGTCTAACTATCTGGGATGAAAGAGAAGGCACACGTTCAAATCAAAAAGAATTAACAAAATACACTGAAACAAGTAATAAAATATGTATAGTATGTTAAAATAAATCATAAACAATAGATAAAGAAATAGAAACTCTATAACAATTTAGTTGCTAGTAAAATGAATTAGAATTATATATAAGTAAATTAAGCTTTGTTTGTTTTTAATAACTAATAATAAAATTTTTAAATTAAATAATTGCTATATATTTTTCAGCAAGTCTCTAAATACATCTGTGGATCATTCCAATTGTTGAAAATGATTATACATTCCATTCGATATAATGGTATTGCAAAGTTTTACATGTAAATACGTTTTTAAAGATATGCATTTCTTCATTTTTTTGCAATAAAGGAAAATTAGCAATATTTTGCGATTTCAACTGTATTTAAGTTTAAGACAAAAGAATAAGAATAGAATAAAAATACTAAGGAAAAAACATTTGGCATTATGTAAATTTCATTTTATGACGTAATTTGGCGCGAAATATAAAAGACTCTAAAGAAGAGTAGAGGAAAACAAAAACAAAGGGAGTAAATTATCAGGTTAAATTCAAAAATGATTCAAAAAGCACTTAAGAAAAGTACTTAAGTGAGTCACATATTACTATTATATTATATTGCTATTGATAACATTGCGATAACGCAATTTTTAAGACAGTACTTGAAAATATATTGAGTAGGATGTAATTAAGTTGGCAACATTGCAGTCATGTTTGTTTTTTTAAACAAAGCTCTTACTTAATCGTTTGCGTACTAGAGGGTTTTGACAAAACATGATCGAAAAACGCCAAGAAGCGCGATCGGGCTCCTTCGATTATATATCGAAAAAAGCTGAAGAGCGCGATAGCGCTTGTCATGTTCAATGCGGTAATCGACTGTATATATATATATGCAATACATGAAATAAAAGGTTATGAATGAAAAAAAAAATATATATATTCTATTAATTTAGAATAAGTAACAACAAAATACAAATTGGATTGCTGATAGCGATGCGACGTACATGCGTTGAAAGGCTGAACGTGTTTCGACAAGTTTTGGGTGAGCCATCATTTGTCTGTTTTGGCTAAATTCCCTAGCTTTTTTCGACACAAAATCTGAAGAACACGAAAATGGCTCGTGGTACGCAAACGGTTAAAAATGTATAAAGTGGGATGCAATTAATTATTTTTCACGTAAGTGATTGGGCCAATAATTTTATATAATAATAAATCAAATATAATTACTAATGACGTATATAAATACATCATTAGATCACAGTGATACTTCGTTAGATGAATACATCCGCTCACAGTAATCTAAGGAGAGGTAGAATTTACAAATTATTTACATTTTTTAATGATTCGGAAAATACATTTAATGTCAATTAATAAAAAATCGAAATAATTCGAAATGGGTATACAAGGTTTGACAACTTATATTCTAAATCGTTCTGAACAATTTCTTCAATCATTTGATTTGCATGATACATACTTGGTTATTGATGGCTCTAGCATTGGATGTCAATTGTATTCTCACTATACAAAAAGTAATCCTGCATTTGGAGGTGATTATGATAAATATGCTGAATGTGTGCGACATTTCTTCTGGGAACTCAAAAAATGCAATATAATACCATTAGTTCTAATAGATGGTGGTTATGAAAATAGAAAATCAAAGACTGTAATGAAACGTTCACGTGAGAAAAATCAAGCAGCTGAATCTTTTACTCTATCAAACCAGAATAATGTATATTACTTTCCTATTTTGATGTATTATGTCTTTAAAAGTATTCTGCAAGAAATGAACATTAGATATATTCAATGTTTATTTGAAGCTGATAATGCTATAGCTAGCGTAGCTAAACTTTTAAACTGTCCTTTACTTAGTTCTGATTCTGATTTTTACATTTATGGAGCATTGTATATACCATTTGTAACATTGGAAAATCATGTAAGAAAGTGGAGAAAATATGTAAAGCCCTGTAAAATTTATAAAGTTGAAACTTTATTAAATACTTTTAGTGGATTGACTGAATCACTATTACCCTTAGTTGCTACTTTACTAGGGAATGATTACATACAACATTATGAATTCAAAAATTTTTATGACAAACTAAAATTGCCAAAAATTGGGCGGGTTAATTGGAATTTACAGCAATGTCGTATAGAAGCTATTTTAAAGTGGTTGAGTAAGCACACATTAAATGAGGCTATATTATTAATAATAAAAACATTGCCACAGGAAAATAAAATACGAACACTCAGAGCAATTGAGATGATCATAAATGAATATACCAGTATATCAATAAATATCTTGGAACCATTGGGTTTTTCCAAAGAAAATGTTGATAAAATTATTTTACGAAGTATAAAAAATAATTGCAAGTTTCAAACAGATATAAGTGATCTAATAAAAGATCTATCAAAAGAATTTCAAAATATGAATGAATTTGATTTGGAGACTATAAATGATGCTTTCATTAATAGTTTACCCTCTTGGTTCATTAATGAATATCGTAAAGCTTTGTTACCAAATTATTTTATGAATATATTAATGCATAAATTATATATATGTCCTATACAAATTGAAGATTATCGTCAACCTTCAAGTATATTTATAAGTGAAAAGATTATTAATGTTATATGTACATTACTTGAATTAGAATTTGAACAAACAAGTAAATGTTCAGAATACATAACTAGAGGACAAAATAATCAGTTATCTCATTATCCATTCAAATATATTGATAATATTGCTTCTTATAAAATTCTGTCTTTGCACAATCTCAGAAAAGTCCCAATGAATATAAGGAAAGAAATTTATGATAATACCTTAGATATACAACATGATATTATAGTTAAATTTCCTGAAAATTGGAGATTGTATATTGCAACAGCAAAATATTGGACAGATAATTTACCAGCATGCAAATCAGATGCTCATATATATGCATTGCTCTTTGCAATGCTGCTTCATATTATTGATTCGAAAATTGGTTATTGTAGATCTATGCATACATTTAAAAATAAATATAAACAGAAATTGGAAGCAATAGAATCTTCGAAAAAACTAGTACACAATAAATATTCTTTATTAGATTGTTTTGTAGAAAAAAGTATTATGGAAGCTCTTAATGAAATTATGGAATTTGATTGCCTAATGTTAGCGCCATTCTTTATATCTAATAGTGACATGAACATCAAACTTCAACAAAATCCAAAAAGCTACAAACGAGGAGTTGTTCATATATTTGCACAATTTCAAAATTGTTTAAAACATAGTATTGATCTAAATGTATTATTAGGTTGTCCATATCAACTTATGAAAATCTCTGATATGTTTAATGGTACCTTATTATATAATCTATATAATAATTTTATAAAGCGTAAGAAAATAGAAGATTATATATATTGCATACTTCAGTGTTCTCCAAATTTTTGTCGACTATTTCATATAATTTTAATGGAAGCAAGGTTAATGTTTAAGTTACCTGTTTAAACATTTTTAGTTTTACGAAGAAAAAAGAATAAAATTTATATTTGATACACATGATATAATGTATAGTAAAGTATTAATTCATAGTATTAATTCATATTATTATTCTAGTTAATAATATTTTACTAATACAAATATTATATATATTTTTTATATATATTTTATATATATATAAATAAATTTTATGTATATAAATAATTTTATTAATTTTTGGAAATAAAAAGTTGATTAAAATTATAAAAATTTCATGAATTTTTTAATTTATTATTTTCTATTGTGTTCTTATTAATTTGGAATCATACACAATAATCATATATATTTCCATTATGTTTTATAAATATTTGTAATAAATTAATTGAATGTATAATCTCCAATGTGTACATTAGTGTATATATACTCAAAAAATAATGCTCTTGTAAGTTGTCTATTGTTAACCACAATAGACATTCTATTTGCTCTAAATAATATTAATTACATATTAATAAAATATAGATTTACTTTCACAATTGCGATTGACATGATTTTTTTAAATAATCAATGCTCCAATTTATTTATTTAGTATTTTTAAAATAGTAGAATAAAATACTTTCATAAAGAAATAAAAGAAAAATTCTCTTACAGTGTAACAAAAATCTCAAAATGTATTGAATGCCGTCTCCATTGTGTTAGCATCTTGTAGCAATGTTGGAATACAAAATTGGTCATGTCCACATTTTGCTATTAATCCAACGCGTACAGCATATTTCAACTTTGGAATAATTTCTGTTGTAAGTGTTTTATTATCTACTGGATAATGTTTTATTAAATAATCTATTATTAGTTCAGTATTAACAAAAAGCTTTCTCATTTGTATAACTTCTACAGCTTCACGTATCATTTGTGATGTTACTGGTATTAACTTTTGATTTATTTTAAAATGATCTAGAAAAAAATAATATTTTTGTTTATATAATATACAAAATATACATAATCTAAATCTTATATATTTTTTCATGTGCAATTAAATTTAACCTTGTGTTTTATACATTATTATCGAATTTTTTTTTAGTTATATTGAAAATTTTTGTTATCAACAACCTATGAATTTGACAATACGACATATACTAACACAAGTGACATTTATGTTATATAAATATTAGAATCGAAAAAAAAAATATATATATATATATACAATATAATTATGATAAAAGTCAATATTTATAAACAGAAATAAACTAATATCTATTTATATGTAATAGTTATTTATTTATAATTATAAGATGTATAAACCTCAAATGAATTTGTTTATTTGCATAATAAAGTGATCATATACAACAATAATTCTCTTATACAGATGCAAAAGACAAAATTGAAGAAATACAATATTGAAAACGATAATTCTTGTATTTATATATTAAAACTACTCACAATATTTATAATTATATAATATTTATAGTACTATTATTAATGTATACGATACAAGCATAAATAATTCAGTAATATATAGATAATTTTACGTTATAATTATGATATTCATATTTCCATTTTAACAATAAATCATAATTGAAATTGAAAATAAAAATGTAAATAAATATTTCAGGTACATACACAATATTAATTTTTTTTTAGTAAAGAATCAAAATATATTTATTATATCATATTGATATTTTAACCATTTAAAAAGCGTATTTCATAGGAATGGGGTAAATTAATTTTTTTAATTTAAAACTTATTGCACATGTCCCTTTTTGTTCCATTCATGTACCTTAATTGAACTATAACTATTAAAATTTAATAAAAGTATTTATTAAAAAGAATCTATAGATAAAAAAAGATTTTCAAATATTACGAATATTATACGACCATATATATTTTCGTTGAATTTTAATTAAATAAAACATTCAGTAACATATATTAAGTTTAAAATAGTACGTGTGTTCTTAACAAAAAACGCATAATGTGAATGTTTGTGCAAAAAAAGAATGTAATTTTAAGATAAATACCATATAAAAATTATTTCAGTTTTAATAGTAATATTACTAATCGCTGTAATTTTGAATAAGTAGTGATTCAAGTCAAGAATATATAAGGAACATTTTATTATAGAAACTATATTATAAAAAAGATACTATTTCTTTCAATAAACTATTCTTGTCAAATATTATATTTTTATACTTGGATTATTAAATATTGAATTTTGGCATATGATCCAAAATAGTATTAATAAAATACAGTATTAATAAAATATGCTTATAATCCAAGTGTCATATATAAGGAAATATTATGTTAACATTGATTCTGATATATTAGGACCACCTTTCAATTTTTTATAATAATGTTTTTGTTGGAATATCGCTGAACCTTCTAGCATCAAGAATCATGTTGATTATATCTTTACAGCTTTTATATTAAATAACAAACACCAAGTAGATTATTAGGCACTGTACTATAAATTATAGAATAGATCAAGAGTCATTTTTTCATATTTTTAGTCGCAAATAAATTGTAAGAAAACTCTATGGATAATTTACAAAAATGCGATGTTCGTAAAAGCGTGTGCATAGATATAAATTTTGTTATAAAAAATATTTTGCTCAAAACATATTTTGTAAATATTGCAAATCAATTGAAGTCAACTTATTGAAATCAATTTATTGAAATGCGAAGATAATGTTTATGTGCATCTTATGTACAAGTTTAAACATGCATTTACTCTTAAAACACTGTTAAATTCATTGATACGAAGTTCTACAATTTAAAGGATGGATATATAATATTATTATACTTCAATAAAGATCAATGAATCAAGTTAGATAGTAGTATAATTTACAATTAACTTTTATAATTTTTAGAGTTTTATATAATATATAGACATCAAGTATGTAATCTGCAAATTTTTTAGAACTGTACTGCAATAATTTCATTATGTATGCGTTTTATTTTCGAGTAGTTGCAGTAAAAACTATAGTAACTCAATAGATTTTTATAACATCTTATATAATATAGTCATTATATACAAGATATTAAGCTCATATTGATCGATAATTTAACAGGCATAAATTATACACCTTTGATGCTATAAGAAAATAATTTTAGGTAAATATGGTACACATTTTTTTTAACTCATAATTTCATGTAGTTAATGTTATAAAATATTACTGTTGCTGCATTATTACGATCAATTAAGAATATATATATATTTTATATATTTATATATTTTTCAGATGTATATATATATATACGTCTGAAAAATAAAAAGCTGATTTTTTTATTTTACTATATGTAAATAGTTACGTAATATACAGAACACTGTAAAAATTATTTCAACTTGTATTAGGTCCTGTATTCCATATTTTCATGAAGTACTGCACAAGGAAGACAACTACAATAACAAGAATAGTATCCAAAAAACTTTTTAGTACATTTATATGATGTTGTTGTTCTATTTGTGCTCTTTGCCTTACAGCAAGTTGTTCAATTAAGTGTTGAATACGATTAAGTTTTTCACCATATTCTGATAATTGATTATCTATATCTTTTGTAATATCCAATAATCTGTAAATTTATTATTGTATAAAAGCATAATAAAATCTTAAATCTTAAATAATAATAATTATTTTAATAGTTAATTAGGTAGGTATTATTTTATAAGATAATAATTATTTTACCTTGTTGTTGCTCGTCTTCTTTTGCCAACAGATTGACTAGAGTCTGAATGTAATTCGGCAGATGAACTACCTGAATCATGTGCAGTTTCTGTAAGAGGTAAATTATTGGACAATTGCCGTTTTGAAGATTTTAATACAGATAGCGATGAACGAGACTCAGCTTGAAGTAATGGCATCTATAAAACAAAATTTACTTTTGTATCGAATTTTATTTATACTTATTGTATATATTATATATTGTAGCTGTCTCTATTAATTGTTTATATTTATATTAATGATATTTTTGACGAAGTCACTGGAAAATGGTAATGGAGGAATAATCTAATTATAAACATTAATTAAATTAACTTAAAATGATATATAAGTGTTTTTAGAACATATTACTTCGAAGTAAGTGCGCAATATAATATTTGATTAGACCAATTGTACTAAAGAAATTATCGTATCATAAAAATCAATAAATTGAGAACTTGCATTACCATATGGTAAACAAAGAATGTAACAAAGGATATTAATAATACTATACATACTATAAATTGTATTTAACATATCTGTACCTGTGTTTGAGGATCTGTAGAAACAATACTACCAGTACGCATTATCGGTGTTTTATGTCTTGTTTTTGTGCGTATGATATAATCATGCTCATATTGTATTACATCATTTCTAGGATCCCATGGCCGAGCATCTGCATGTCTATAAACCCAATTACCTGTTATAATATCCTGTTGACAAAAAATATATATTTTATTGAGAACAGTTTACGAACGGCTTATTAATTATTTTAATTTTTGTGTAAGAATATATAAATATGACCACGTGATTACCTGTACAAAATACTTAGGAACCCATTCTTGACCAGTACTTTTGCGTTCTTTCGCTCGTTCTCTTTGAGCTTCTTCTAGTTGAGTTTTTGCTTCGGTAGCAGCAAATTGATCATCTCGATTGATTGCTTGTGTAACAGCAAGCCATAATTTTTCACTTTCCCATGGACCTTGATATTCAAGAGGCACAGTATATTTCTTCAATCTTCTTTTACGTACTTCTGAAGTCGGATTAAAAAATACACTTTCTTGCTGTAAAATAAGATACCATTTAATATTAACAAAATTTGCTGTATTTACTTTTCTAATAATAATAAATTTGGAACTTACTCCAGTTCGTTTATCAGTAATCATAATTTGTCCATCCCAATATCCTGAAATAGTAGCAAGGGTCTCTTTTCCTAAACGTATTCTTCCTACTACTTGATTCATCTGTTCTGCTCCTCCAAGAAACGGCTAATGATATAATACAAAGAAATTTATTCCACGTGTATGAAAATATTTATAATAATTGCATATAAACAAAATATTGAATTATAATATATAATATTAAACCACAAGAGATTTAATTTATTTAATGCTTTTAACATGGAGTTAAAAGCTCATATATATATATATATTTATATATATTATATAATATTATATATACTATATATATATTATATAGTATATATTTATCTAGAGTATAAATTTTACCTTAAGTTTAAATTCTAATTCAGTATGGTAACGAGTTTTCTCACATTCAATATCTATTTTTCCACCAAGTTCCATAGATAATGTTCCCACAAGAATACCTTTACAATGTGCATAAGGAATTGTCATTGTATAATCTTCACCTCTGGGTAACATCGTTAATATTGCAACACCATCTAAAATTGCTGATGTTGAATTACCTAAAATATTACAGTGTATGATATTAATAATAATTATAATATTTTGTTTATAATTTTAAACTTTCTATTAAAAAAATAATTACCATAAAATTTAGATTTAGCAATAATTGTAGCACTAATCGTATATCCATCTTGACGATTTGTTACATAAAATCCTGATATAGGCGGATGATGAGACAACTACAAAAAGATATTGAAAGATTTTAATAAATTGTATATAAATATTGAACCTACGTTACATTGAAATTGCAATAGATTGCATTACTTAAAACAATAATAGACTGCATTAATAGAATAGTAAAAAGTTACAAAAAATAATGCTTATTACTTGTTCTGCTAAGTAGAATGTTCTTGAACCATTAGGATGTTGCCAATAACAACGAAATGTTTCACCTAAAAGTGGATTGTATGGTTTCTTCAGTCCTTGAGGTTTTTTATAAAAACCAGATAAATACCATTTTACAACTGCTTTCATACGTGTAAATGCATCATCTTCTATTACTGCTCTATAAAAATAAATATATATTATGTAACAAATATAATAAATAATAATATGTAATTGTTTTGTTGAAGTTTTGCTTACTCTGATAAAAGATCAGCATGATAATAAGAGTCAGCTAATTTTTCTAAGAAAGATCGAGGTTCTAATATAAAAGTAGGTAATACTACTTTAGATAGATCCATTCCAGGTCGTGCTTGTTTCATTAAAAACCATATTAATGATTTTTGTTCTTCCTGCAATACTGTTACTACTTCGCCAGCCTGAGATAATTTAAATAAAAATTGAGACAAATTGATTATTTTAATATTATGTATCAAAAATAAATACTTAAATACTTACTGATCCAAGAACTTCACTTTCATTAGATACATATGGAGTTTCATTAATTGTGTCCGATGGATCTTCTTTTGCAGAACCCTCAGATTCACTATCCGAAGCACTGATTTCGGCATCGGCTGCGACTCCATTTTCTGGCTGGCTGATATCATCCAGGTCTGTATGTGAGGCGTATACAGGTTCTAGCGTTACTACCTCATGGGTCTTGTATTCTAGGACATGTACAGAAGGAACAGTCATGCGACGAGCAGAGGAAATTGATGGAGCAGGTGCAGAAGCAGAAGATGAAAAACCAGACATGCTAGGATGAGTACCCCCACCATCTGGTTCATCGATAGAAACTGAAGACACAATAATCTCTGGATCTGTAGTAGGTGTAGGAGAGTTATCGCGAAACTGTTTTTCCCAGTATGCAACTGCATGGTAAAGTTGTTGAAACATTGGAGTTGGTGAAGGACAAACACTTTTAGGATGACACGCTATAGCAGGTGAGATTGGCTGTGGACATGACAATAAGCGCCTTTGAGGTGTTGTGGGTGATTTAGGTGCATATTGGCTTAAAGATACTACTGGATTACAAAGCAAGTGTTTTTAATTTGTTTTAAGGTAATGAAGAATAGGAAAGGATAATAATTTAACTATATTAGTAAAGTTGAATTCTAATCATTAAAAGCTTGTTATTATTAAATTAAGCTTGTAATTTGTGTCTTGTTATAACTTTGAGTACAAATAGAAAAATCAATGTTCTATTAATGAAATAGAATTTAATTTATGATATAATAATACTTTGATTTATGTTGCATATTTCACAATTTTTAACATTTTTACATTTATATTTCGTTTAATAATATCAAGTAAAATGTTATACGAATTGTATAATTAAAATTAATAATATTCGTGATAATAAGAATTAAAAATAAATTATCTAGATAGAATATTCTGTAAGAATTATTTATAAGAGAATAAATAATTATTTATAGCAATTATTAAAAGCATTTTATTTAACTTCTCAAAGGGTATCTATTATGATTATTTGCATGTATTATTAAATACAATATTTAAAACATACTTTTTTTTTATTTACACACATAAAATACGCATATCATTCATAATAATTCATTTTTTATAATCACGATAGATATATAAACATGCGTAGAATTAATCAATAACAATACTCACCATGTTCATCAAAATGTTTTTCATAATCTGCTTCACTCCATTGAGTTTCATGAGTAGTTGTTGCATCATGATGTAAAGAACGCGGCAATGCACTAGTTGAACGTACAATTAGTGAAGAGCATCTTAAAGAAAGTTCAAGTGCATCCAACCAGCATTTACCAGCAGCTTGTGATGGTGCTCTAAAGATTAAGTAAGAAGTTGGTAAAGGTTGTACCACAGCTCCTACAAAAGAAATAATTTCAGTCTATATTATCATTATTATATTAGAAATAAAATTAATTTAAAAGTAATAATATACTCATTTACCAATTGCTTCATTTTCTGGTCCTCGAGGAGCCCAAATAGATTGCTCTAAAGGATGAAAAAGTTTAAAACAGAATCCATCCTTTTTACTAGGTCTCTCTATCACTTGACATGTATTCAACAAAACAGTTCCAACCCAATGATTACTCTGCAATATTTATAGTTTTATAATACCATGTGATTTTGCAGTGTTCTTAATTTACATTTCAACATTTATACTATAAAGATACAAAATGAAAAGAAATAGTGTTTACTTTTATTTTTGGACTTTTATATAATAATAATAAGCCAGGTTTAAGAATACACCATAACTTTGTCCAGCTTTTTAATGTTCCTCTAACTTTAAGCCAGTCACTCATTACAATAACAGTTGGATCTTTAAATGAACTAAGAAGTTCATTTGCAACTCGTTTCTTTTCCATTCGATAATTTTTTCTTTGTGCTTTATAAGATTCTTTCCGCGTCAATTTGCAGGAATCCATTGACTAAAAGCAATACATATAAATGAAATTAACATATTTGTTTATTCATTATTGTAATAAATATCTCAAACATAAAAATAAATATATACCTTATCTGATGTATTATCTGTTTTTTGACTGTTCTCTCCTGTCATAGATAAACCTAAAACAGATTACATATCATATATTACAATCTATTCTGATTTTAATTTCAATAACTTTATTAAAACAAAAATAAACTAGTGATTCACATAATATAATCTAATAATTCTATAGTGTAAGTATTAGTACTAATTTTAGAAAATTTACTTAAATGTGATATGTATCAATTATTTTCATTGATATATTAACACAATGTTTGTGTGTTATAAAATGTAGAAGAGATAAATATTTTCATATAATATAAAAATCTACACTTTCTATTGATATAAACGTATATTTCACACACGCGCGCGCACACACACACGCACATATATATTATATATATAAATTTATAGTCTCTATATACACAAAATAAGCAAGTTTTAATTGATAAATAAAGTAGTTGTGATGAAATCACTTATAGACACACTTTTTACATCAAATTGATTACATATGATTTAAGGTACATTGATTATATTTTTGTTATCTAACTTAATATAATATATAATATATAAATAATATTCATAAAGTACAAAAGTTTTTGTACATCTTGTAATATTAAGTATGCTAGAAGACATTAACATATAAGAGTAAAAACATTAATATTGCAGTAAAAAGATGATTGAATTCTACAATATTCATAATTTGAATTACATTTCAAATTTATTACAAAACTTGCTGTATAAATTCTTTTACTGTAATAATTATGTTGTTAATATTCTATAAAATGTCTTCTTAATAATTATAATACATAACTTTATATAATACTGATTATTAATTTTTTTATATGAATATATAATTTTTAAATTTTACACACATACACATACACACTATATGTTATTTTAAGATATTTTTAAATGTAACATTTCAATTGTAAGGCACGTTTATTATCATAAAAATAATATTGTATATCGCATATACTTAAAGTAATATTGTGTCCATGAAATAAGAATTTAGTATAAGATATAAATTATCTTTAATACTCTATCAGTTACCTATTAATTGCTTATATAGGTAGATATTTTTTAAAAATATTTTGTAATAAGCATAAAAAATTCAGCATTTCAATACATGCTTGATATTTTTAATTTATATTTTTAATCAAGCAAAACAAAAGTGTGAACATAAAAACAAACATGTAAATATTTCTTTAAGTATTGCAATGCATTTTTCATACATAAATATAAGTAAATATATATAATAAAAAATATATATATTTATATATGTAAGCACATATCTTGATTAATTAAAATGTTACATAAGACATGCTTATTTTTATAAGCCATATGTTAACTAAAATATCTAATTAGAATATGTTAACTAAAAGAACTAAATAGGTTAATATTAAATAAGAGATTAAAAAGCATTTTATAAATGCTGAATTATTGAAGTATATGATATTATAATATCTACAAAATATCTGTATAGTTATACCTGGAGATACAGGAACTGGGCCAGTTGTAATAGTTACACTTGTTGTAAGTGATTCAGTTGATGGAAGTTTTGTTAAGGGCATTGGTTGTACATGGACACTGCTTGGTCGAAGTTGTTGATCCACTGGTTCTATATATTTAGGTTCTTTCATTTGTAATCAATATACATTAGTAATTTTATACCATTTTACAAATATAAATTTTATGTTATACATATAAGTTATTAATGTATGTAAATTTTACAAAACTTTATAATTGATTTGATAAAAATGGTATAGTTTACTTCTAATCTTTTGTAACTACATAAATATAATTATGTTAGTGTTCTAGAAATACAAAACTAACACTAATTACATTACTTATTTCATCCATAAGCAATATATGTAACAACACATAGTTATTTATTATATACTTTTTAAGTCTAACATTAATAAATATTATATATGTTGACAAGCTATCAAATATCGAAATGCACATGCATAAAATATCATGCAAATCATTTTAAAAGCCAAATACCCCAGCATTTCTATTTCTGATATAAAAAGATCACTGCCATTCTTATATAAGGAAGATGAAATAATAAAAAATATGCAAGATAGAATAGAAGTTTATAAAAATGTAACAATACTTTCTATAATTACAATTTTATATAATATAATAGATTACAATCAATGTATATAAATTATATATACACAAATAACAATATACATGTAATTCTTACTTTACGAATTTCTACTTTACGAAAGCGGAATCGAAATGAATTAATTCGTAAAGACTTGAATTACACTTATAATGTTCATAGTGAAATAAAATACTTTGTGTTAAATTTTTAATTTTTTCATGGTTACATAAAACTTAAATTACAATAATAATAAATATTTGAGCAATTAGTATGTATTATAACAATTATATATAATACAAAATAGTATAGTATGTTTTTTGATCAGCAAAAATACAGTATTAATATTTAGTTCTATATTATTAGATGTGGTTAATTTTGGTGAAGATAATAATATTTAAGCTAATATGATAGTAATAATATGATATCTAGTAAATATTTTTATGTAATGTAAATATTATTTATTTTGAACAACTACTTATTAATTTCGATCTTGCAATGTTCTGATTAACTACAATAAATATTTCATTTGTACTCATGAAGAGATAGATAGACACTACTATATTTGTAATGTCAAGGGTATCTTAGAACAAAAGTTTTGTCAATAACTACTACTATGCCCATTCTATAATCCTAACATTGATATCCATGTAATAAATAATTGATAGACATTTTTAATGTGGTAGAACATAAAAAAAATCCAAGGAAGATATAAAATAAAAGTGTGCCTATATTTGTTAAGTATAGTCTTCAAAAATGATACAAAAAAAAAAATTATTAATGAAATTAATTTTATATAATACATTAGGTAAACTAAATAATTTGGATTGTTTATAAATGATCAAAATCTAGATTCTTTAGATGACTAATAAAAAACATTATATAATCTAGCTTATAGAACAGACTGATGATGCCTAGGATCTCTTGTCATGAACATGCATAATTCAAATGTATGTTATTACTTAGAGAGGGATCAAATGTCAATGAAAGATGAGAAACATCATAGTTAAGAAATATTACATACAGAACGTGCAACTGTTTTGTACTTTCGATTACATAAATATTACAATAACAGATATATTCAAAACTATTCAGAATGTAATACAATATTTACAATAATATTAATACAATATTATTGTTAACATGATCTTAAGCCTAAGAGATCATCTTAAATATATCTATTGTTTAGTAGTATATTTTATATATTTTGATTTAATGATTACTTTCTACCTTGAAATAAATTTTACTAATATTAAAAATTAACACTTACGGTTGCTCAGAGACCGACTAACATTAGGCGGTGTCATAGTCTTAAATGTATCTGAAGTACATCCAGCAGGTACAGAATGAGCATCTGATTGTATTCGATGATCTCCACCAGGTACCACTATTGGTTGCGAACTCATGATTAATCTATAATATAAACTACAAATATTACCTAATAAATATATATACACATGTATTATATATATTGTTATATTTTATATAAAATGTTAAAGTAATAAAACAATAAATATTAAATCAAAGATAATTGTTTCTTTATAAATATTTTTAATCTAGTTGTGTGAATATCCAAAAGTAAAACTATAATAAAGTAATCACGCACACGAAACCATTAGCTAGAAGTATAAAAAGTTAATTAATTAAAACTAAGATGCAAAGGGAAAATACAATTGAAAATATTGATTGATTAAATATTTGTTATATACATCATTCGTATTACATTATATTACAACAACATGTATTAAAAGTGACGATCTTGTATTTATTACGTAAATTGTTAAAGCTTACCTCTCGTTTAAATGATTGTGTCTACATGACAGGCTGGTCCATTACACAAATTAATTATACCATAAAATCGATATTAAAACACAAGAATAGACGAAAAGAAAATGAAGCTCGTCATTTTTTATTTATTCTTGTACTATACTTCATTAATTATACTATTTTTTCATTAACGTATTAATAAACATTCGAAAGAATAACGAAGTAATATTTATCGAGTACAGAACGTACAACAGCGCGAGCGCGATGTGCGATGTTCCATTGATCACTTGACGTTATAGCTTAGCTACAAACATACGATTGGACTTAGTTATGCGAAAACGCATTGCATATTACCCCTACTAATGCAAAATCTCCTTTACGTGCGATTATGATTGCATAACTATAACTTTAATATAACTATAAATCTTTCATATTATTAACTCTCATTATTATTTACTGATCATTATATATGCCATATGAAACATTTAATTTTTTACTATAAATAGAGAATATAAGATCTTAGTGTTATAAAATATATATATATATATATATATATATATATATATATATATATATATAAATGATAATAGACGTATGTATTATCGTTCAACCTATCCTAACTTCTTTTAGTGAAAGTTCACTTATATAACTAGAACTGCCAGATGACTTAATATTTTCTTCAAATATGTTAATTTTTTCTCCAATCTACTTGTATGTGTGATAAAAGTCACATATATAGATAAAAGTATTTTATAAATGATAAAAATAAACTAAAATGATTATTGGATAAACATAAAAATATACATAATTGTTTAAAATAATGCAAATCAGCCATCAATGCATTAGAGACGCCGGGTTACAGCGACGCATAGTGACGAGAATTTCTACTATGCTCACCGAATTTCGCCGAGTTACGACGAAGAGCATTGGGCGGTAAATTTGGCGACGTTCGGATAATCTCGGGTTCGGTCGGAGAGCGCGCCGAGCCGAACGCGAGTCAACGAAACGTGAATCAGTCGGCGTTCCGCAGCGTTCCGCGTTTGTTCTATAGAAGATCTTTTAGTTGATTTTTTGTCGATATTGTCCGAGGAATAATTTACGGGTGGTCTTGAAATCCTGGAATCTTTCGGCGCTTAGTCGCCGGGTGAATGAATAGTTCGTGGATTGTAAGAGGCGCGCGGTATGGCGGCCGCGTGCGTTGGCGATCAGCTTATGTCGAGCGAGTCGTCTTCGGCGTCATTGGACTTAGCAAAAAAGTCGATTAATAACGGTCGGCCAATATGTTGGCAACATAGATTGTTCGGCAAGCAACTGACCCGTTGCAATCAGATTAATTCGCAGGACACGAAGCCATGTGACGCAAGCGGTTCCCTCATCGATGAAGACGGCGGTACCGCATGCGATGTTATCGGTGTGTACTTCAGTTTTATCAATCCCGGTGCAACCTGCGACGATTTCACCCGTCAGCTGGTCGAACTTTATGCGAGTGTCAACGCGGTGCACGCGGGAACGGATGCTACCTCTGCTGCCGGTGTGTCGACCGAGAATATGAACAAGGGAAGGGAAAGGAGGAAAAAGTTCGAGGTCGTACACGTGGTGCTTTGGAGTAACGTGGCTGACGTTTTCGACTTCGAGGAGAGCTTTCGTAATCATGTTACGGATTTACCGTGGTTGGCCGTACCTAATCGGGATTACGAGAGGAAAGTGAGTAGAGTTTTTTGTTTAATATTTCCTTACTTCCACCTTAAATAATTTTTAACATCTTGAGATCTAATAGATAGAAAGAAATGTAAGAGGAGAATAAAAATATGATATGTTCCTTTTAAATAATATCTCATATTTCATTAAAATTTTTCCTTATATCGTCGAAATCTTTCAAGATTGTCGTCGACTTTTCATCTTTTTAGATTGCTCAAAATATGTTTCGTCGAGAAAGAACGTTACGATCACGCACGACAACGTTCGTGTGTGGGGCACGCCAAAGTATATACGAGTAGTTATATTTTTTTACTTTTTTTTATTTTTTTTTATTTTTTATTTTTTTTCTTTCTCTTTCCTCGCACTCTTGCCGCGAAACCGCCTACAGGATACGGGTATTTTCGGAGCGGTTTTATTAAGTCTCCCCAACGAACGCCACACGCGAAATCATCGTCGAAGGGTTGCTAAAAAGGCCGACCTTCCTCTCTTTCCCTGTCTCTCTCTTTCTCTCTCTCTCTCTCTCTCTCTCTCTCTCTCTTTCTCTTTATTCCTACCTTTCACGAAACTCAAGAACGAAGTGCTAGAATCCTTCCACTTTTTTGTGAAAAAACATATTCCTTCTAAGAAGAGGCAAAAACAATTTATCCGTTTCCCTTTTTATTCCTTTCTTTTCTTTGTCTTCATCATTCCAGACAGTTTTTCCTTTGGGAAAAATCGTTTGATGAAGCAGCACTCGAGGCCTGGCTATTGGTTCACCTCGATGCATATGTATGCTGCTTCTTCGATCGAAAACGCGAAGAAAGTTAACGGTAATGGTTCGCGCGCAATTAATGTCAAGTAGTCTCCTCCACTCCGCTACTTTTTCCTCCATTTCAAATTATTAGACCGAGAAATAAAGCCAACAGCGATATCTTGTCGTCATCGTCGTCGTCGTCGTCGTCGTCGTCGTCGTCGTCGTTGTCTTCGTCTTCGTCATCGTCCAGTGATATCAGTCGAAGCGATGCGATTCGACAATTGAAACGAAAAGAGGACGAGAGAGAGAGAGAGAGAGAGAGAGAGAGAGAGAGAGAGAGAGAGAGAGAGAGAGACTACATCTCCTTTCTTTTTTCTTTCTCATTATAGAAATGAGTGTTCATCTTTATGCACTCCTTTTATCTAGACAATGAAAAAAAGAGGAAGAAAAATAATAATCAAAATATAGAGGATTCGAGAGCAAAAACATCTTCACGATCAATCTCACGAATTTTGTCTTTATTTCAATGGTTTGTTTATTCATCGAAATTTATGTTTATATTTTATTAGGATTTACAATCGCGACCTTCCGAGAATAAGTAAGAAGTTTTCTGATAGTTTATAAATAAAATCGATCAAATTCTATACCATTCACCAATGAACCACCTCGACACATGATCGACTTCGATAGCTTTCAAATTTGAAGAAAACTTTGGGAATTTTTTTGTTAATAAATCTAATTGCATTCACCATCGCCGATTTACTTTTTATTTTTATTTTTTTTTTTTACGGACGACATAATCAAAAATGGAAACGAAAAACGGAAAACATAAGGCGAGATACGGTTTAATTTATCTCATATGGGCGTCCTCGTCGATTAGTATTCTCCCTCGTTTCCTCTTCTGCTTATCCAAGTCTCCCTATCAAACTAGCTTGCAATGTCGTAGGGCCACCTAGCACGACGTTCGCTTCTTCAACGACGTAATAAGCCCACGCGTTGCTTAGGCTCGTAGTCTTCTTGGCCCTGTAAAACGTTCCGGGAGAATATGTATATGCATACATACATACATTGATACATATATATGTACATATATACGTTTGCTTTGCATCAACGTTGAGAAAAAGAGTCAGCCAGCGCCAGCAGCAGCAGCAACAGCAGCAACAGCAGCAGTCAGCAACAGCCAACGGCAGTCTTTCCCATTCGGGGTAGCCGACCCATATCTTCCGCAAATAGCTTTCTCATTCGCCCGCCGAGATAAAGAAAGAAATCGAGATGTAGAGAAATAGAGAGAGAGAAAGAGAGAGAGAGAGAAATGGCGGTATGTGCAGGTTCTTTACCACGTAAACGACTGAAGCCTTGAGGGGGAAAAAAAGAAAAGATAAAGGACCGTTTGGATTTAGATAGACTTTGAGGTAGTGCTGCCCACACACAAGTTCTGTGTTTTTACCAGCGAAGCATTTTCTCTCTTTCTCTGTTTCTCACTCACTCTTTGCAACCCCTTTTGCCACCATCATTCCCATCCCCTTCTTTCAGACCAACGTTTCCGTCTAGATTACACGCGACCTACTCGGCTTTGGTGGCCAAAGGAAAAGTGGAGTACGCGCGAGATCGCTAGATCGCAAAGAGAGAGACCCCCCCGTAAGCCACGAAGCGCAAGAACTTCTAAAGGAGGAGTACACCGTTTTCGGGCCCGACGCGCGTATATATCAATAATATTACTTTGTGGCAATGTCTTATCAAAGTCATTCCCTTTTTTTTTTTTAATTTCTTCTCCTTCCTTTGGTTTTCCTTTTTCTTTTTCTTTTTCTTTTTCTATGTTATAACATCTATTACTCATAGGAAAGGAATCAAAACCTAATATAACAAAATTATTTTGATAATGTGTAATACACGAAGAATAAAATTTTATTAGAAGATACATTAGATATAATTAGTAAATGAAAGTATATAATAGAACAAAGTATATTTGGAAGCCAATAGGCACCATTATAGTATCGCCTATACCACGTACACAAACATTATACTAAACATTATTGGAGAATATGTCATTGAGAATGCCTTTTCACGTCGGTTCCTTTATCCTTTTCTCTCATCGGCTAAACGCGACTTTCATAATCGTTATCGATCGAAATAGAAAAAGAGAATAAGAAAGACAGGCAAAGAAAGAAAGAGAAAGAGGGAGAGTCGATTGTGGCTGGAATTACGTCGAATGTCCGTCTGAGGAAAGATGGTAGGATGAAAGAGAAGAAAGCGAAGAAGAGCTCGATCAAAGGAGCATCGTTCAGTCGTTTAAATTTTTCTCCGCCCACGTCGTCCATCGGAGACGTCGTCGTCATTGCCATCGTCGCTGTCGCTGTCGTCGTTGTCGTTGTCACTGCCATTGTCATCGTCTTTGTCGTTGCCGTTGTCGTCGCCGTCGCTATCGCCGTCATCGTCGTCGTCGTCCTTGTCGTCGTCATCGTTGGTCGACCACGATTCTTGTATACACGAAGGAGACATTTGAACGAGCGTGAACGAGTCAACAGTGATCCGTTTCCCACCCTTCTAACTATGCTTCTTTCTCTCTCTCTCTCTCTCTCTTTTTCTTTCTCTCTCTTGCTCTATCGTGTCTTGCTGATGTCGCGATGTGACAAATGGCACGAGCAAAAGAGAGAGAAAGAGAAGGAGAGAGGGGAAAAGAGAAGTTATTTGGCGCGTGAGTGTTGGAGTGAAAGAGAGAGAGAGAAAGAGAGAGAGAGAGAGAGAGAGAGAGAGAGAGAGAGAGAGAGAGAATTGGAGGGGTAGAAAGGGTGAGAAGAAGAGAAGGGGTGAGCGAGGAGAGAACGTGGTAGGGGACATCCACACTGTCGGGGGAAATAACGATAGCACCGTCGAGCTCGCGGCAGCAACAGCAAGGGAGGACGTACACGTTATCGACCGGCCGAGACGGAGGCGGCAAACCAACTCGTACACGTATATACTCCGGTACGGACAAACGGAGTGGAGCAGCAGCAGTAGCAGTAGCAATAGCAGCTATGGAAATATACGCGGAGAGAGAAAAGTAATGCCTTCATGGTGTGAGTGTGTTGGAGGGACAGAGAGAGAGAGAGAGAGAGAGAGAGAGAGAAAGAGAGAGAGAGAGAGAGGGAGAGAGAGAACGAGAGGGTCGCGATAACGTACGCCGTCGCACGTTTGGTGCCTCGAGTTCACCCTCTTGCCGCCTTATATCGGTTCTCTATCTCTCTGTCTCTGTTTCTCTTTCTCTTTCTTTCTCTCTCTCTCTCTCTCTCTCTCTCTCTCTCGCACACACCCTTCTTCTCCTTGCACCCATATCGCCCTAGGAAATTTCGCATATCCTTCCAAGTACGCGAAAGAGCGTAAAGGGAAGAAGAGATCCCAGAGGACGATAGTTGTAAGAGTGATCCCTGAGACTCTGATGATTCTCCCTCGTGACTCTCTCTTTCGCTTTCCCTCTATCTCTCTTTTTCTCCCTGTTATATTTAGTGTTTCTATCGTACAGATCAGCAACAATGAAGCACTAATCTTTTGTGTAATTAAATTAGGAAAATACTCTGATTACATTCTCTCTTTTTTTTTTTTCTTTTTTTTTTTTCTTGACGCTTTTTCAAAACATAATGTGCTTAAAGATCAGATTTAAATTGTTTAATTAAACAAATTTTGATGCCCTTTCCAATAAAGTTTTATCCGAAACTTCGGATCAATTCGAAGGAAGTCTGCTAGTTAATATTAAACGCGACTTCCGATCGATTTGCCTGTACTTTAACTTGTTAATATTGCAGATTGAATCGCGTTTACGAAGCTTTATTCCGTCACTACTGCTACTGCTGCTGTTACTGCTGTACTGTTATCTTCTCGAAGCGTACGTAGACCCTTTGGCGTTTTATCCGTCGCTAGCATCGTAGAAGAGCCCTTTCCTTTTTCTTCTCATCCTGGCTATAATCATACGAACTGACAGAAGAGACAGTACTCATTGTCGGCAGACACCGCACCCTCTTTTCTACACTCGTTGCCATCCTTTACTCTACGTACATTCGGGGTTGTTACGTTTTTTTAAGACAACGGATGAGACAAAGTCGAATATTTCCTCTAACTTTCTCCGTCTTTCTTCCTATTTTTTTCTTTTATGATTTGTGCATTGTTTGATGCTTATTCGTAATAAGCCTTGCACAGTCGATGAATCTCAACGTATCTCTATGTGTTCTTCAACTCTTCCTGGTTTTTACGTAAGCAGTACAATATAAAACAGATAGATAAATATTGTAGATAAAGAGAGAGGAAGAGAGAGAATTAGGACAAGTTGTACACAACAATGCATTTTTTTTTTCGCGTTTCGTCGTATGCATCTGTCGTATCATCTTCGAGATTTCTTTAAGACATTCATACGATCATTATTTTTCTTCGGATAATTTTCTAAATTTAGAAACTCGCTCTTATTACTCTTCGGAATAAAATACGTCGTAGTGAATAGACCGATTTTAAAGAACTTTTGATGTCTGAATATGCTATTCTATGAAATGTGTCTATTTCGTTAATCTTTGTAATTTGATCGTTTTATCGATAATCGATAATGATGATAGACATCAAATATAAAAATAGAGGGAGACGTTGATTGTATCATTTAATCGAAAAGCATTGAGACTATAACGAAGAAGAAAGAGACTCGTGCGAGATGAATGATCAGCAATGTTTCTTCTAGACCAGGCTGACAAGAAGGTATCGGATAAAGGCAGGAGTGCCCACGTTGATTCTACTCGAGGGATCAAATGGTTCGGTTGTAACAAGGGGTGGCGTCGAACGAACCATTGCCGATCCTACTGGCGCCGAATTCCCTTGGAAACCACCGCATCCAAAAGCTGCCCTGGAAGATGGACCTTTGCGGTCTTGTGGTGCTCGCGACAGCAACGAACCAATGTTACACGAGGAACTGCGACATTGTTTTAAAGGTGTTTATTTCAGTGCACATTGGGTGAGTAACAGAAAAGAAATACAGTTATTTTAGGACAAATATTATGAATTCAAATTGAAATTATTTATCCCGTGTATTTTTATTCTTGTGTAGAAATGTGAACTGAGTCTAATTACTACGCAAAGTTAATTATTATAAAACGTATATTCATATGTGAAAGTTTTTAATGATCACTAAAATCATCGAATGATGATCGGTGATTATTTTTAGGAAAAAAAAAAAAAAAAAAAAAAAAAAAACGAATGATACATACGTACATTTTTTATTTCCATTTCAGTGTCCTCCTTGTAAAGCATTTACACCGCAGCTCGTGGATACTTACCAGCGAATCCGAGAAAGAGGACATGATTTCGAAGTAATTTTCGTGAGTTCCGATAGGTAAAATCATCTTTCTGAGATCCCTTCTTTCCTGCGATTATTTCTTCGTGGATTTGAAATGATTACTTATCTTGTTTCATTCCAGGAGCGAGGAATCCTACAATGCTTATACAGAAACAATGCCCTGGCTTAGGATACCATTTAGTCAAGAAGAAAGACGTCGAAAATTGGCTAGAGCTTTAGATGTCCAAGCAATACCCACCTTGGTTATTCTTGATCCACGGGATAATATCATCACTCTCGATGGTAGAGCCGAGTTACTCGAAGATCCTGAAGGATTGGTAAAAATCTAATAAATCTTGATTTTTTTTGGACAACTCATTTTTTTTTTTAATATGATTCTATTAATCTTTTTTTTTTCACTTACTTTTACATCGCAGAACTTTCCATGGACCAGTCGATTGGTCAATATTCTAACGGAGAAATATGCGACGTCGTTGCACGATGCACCAGCGATCATACTCTTCGTTGGTAAGTAAACAAAAATTAAATATAAAATAATGATGTGTCTAAACGAAAAAGAATATAAGACAAATTAAATTATACATTCATTTGCAGAGGGCGATGATTGCGAAATACAATTCGCAGAAAGTGTTTTATTACCTGCCGCTGAGGCCTATAGAAGAGATCGTCCAGATTATGATCCCAATTATGACGATCCCGATGGCATATTACAATTTTATATAGCCCTAGACGTAAGGATCACGTGATTAAGTTTTACATATAATTAATACATCTAATTCTTCTTATTTGATTTATTTTACAGTGCGAAACGTCGGATATTCTTCGTGAATTTGTTGGTTTGGACGATGCAGTACCTCTTCTGACGGCTATCGATATACCACGAGGAGTTTATGTGGTAATGGAGGACGGTGCTGAAATTACAGTAGATTCTGTACAACAATTCGTCGATGGATTTCGTAGTGATAAACTACCAAAAAATAAGATAGTGGCGGTACACAAGGCTCCCAAAAATGAAAATGTCTCAGCTTGAAAAACGATCTTCAAACTGATTCCAAAATGTGAATGGTGTCAAAGTGTCTAATTAACGATGTGGTTACCAATCAAGCAATAAGCTCGTAGCTTAATAATATCGAGTTTGGATTCGAAGCTGGCACAAGTTCTAGTCACTCGTTCATCGCATCAATTTCAAAAACTGCGCGCAAACAAACGCATATACACTTTGTAAAATTATAAGTCTAAAAATATTCCCATTTAACAGACTCTTCTACCTATTTGTGCCTAAAAAATGTAAAGAACTTCATTTATATACTTGAACCGGAGCAAATTATTGTCTTGTATCAAAATTGTACACGATGATTTATGGAAAACAAAATAACGAATATTATTCGATTCGTGTATGATATCACACAACACTTACACCAGTATCATTTTTCTAATACCTTACATGTAAAGATTCTTACAAGAATATGCATGCTTATCCAAGATATATTACATATATGTCTTGTTATATGTTCTCCGTATTTACTTGTGCCAGCTATATATAATAATTACAATATTTCAATGATTAAAGTCACAATAAGTTGTAGAATTCTTTTCTTTTTTCCTTTTTTTTTTCAAGATAAAACTTTCAGTGTGTTCATTATAATTGATTTTTGATATATGTAAAATTTTTTATTTGATAAAATTTGTTTATATATGAACGAGCATGCGAGTCTACGAACGTTCAATTATCATATAACCACAATGGAAATTTTTCTCTTCCCTTTTTCACTGTTTATATCCATCTCTGTGATACTGTAGCAGTAGCTCGTTTCATAAGAAAGACCTTGCGTGAAAATTGTGTTTGTAATCACACACTTATAATTATATGGAAATAACCAAAAGACTATGTATTGTATAATAGCCAAAAATAAAACAGGCGGATTGTATTTTTAAGTGCACACGCGCACATGGGATACGTTAATATATAACTATATGTATTACTTAATAAACGCCAAATAGGCATACATTTGTAGACTTTCAAAACATTCTATAATAATTCAGTTTTGATACTTATGAAGAAGACATAAGCATTATTTTATATGTTCAAGCTTTTATTATCTATTGTTTTTTGTTAATAATAAATTGATGTTAGACACAGAAGTATTTTAATTAATCACCTTATTCTTTTTTCTATATAAATATAAATATCTACGGTGCTATTTTCTTTTTTAATTTTTACTTTTACAATAATATTAAAAAAAATAATGTTGTATAAACATACAAAATCTGATTCCAACTTCAATAATATTGTGTTTTTATATGTTAAGTCAATAAAAATTTTTGATCTACAAATTTCGTTCGCATTCATACTAATCACACTAAACACATGTGTCCTCATCATGATTAACAACTGTACAAATGTACATATATATTACAATATCTTAAAGTTATTTATGTTCTTAATGTTAAAATAATATTATGCCGTAGTATTACATGAAGTAGATAAATTATACTAAATGCATCTTATAGTCATATTTTTTAAAATTCGCATGATTTATAACACATTAACAATTACTTTTATCTTATTTTCAAGTAAGAAGTGCTGCCAGAGCATCAAAAAATTTTGGTCTCTCTTCGACCTTCAGTCTTACTACTGCAAAAAAATTAAAATAATATAAAACATTATGAAACAATAATGCATATATATTAATCAAATAGATCTTACTTGTTGTATCAAAATAATCTGCATTGATATATGAACTTGTATTTTTAGCTGCTTGTTCAAACGCTTTCCCAAACAGACTACAATAAATAAAATATTGCTCTTATACTCTAATCAATAATAATAAAATTATGAAAAATATATTTAGTACCTGCGTGGCTGATCTTCGCATATTGGTGGAATGCCAATGATTAGACATGTACCTTCTTCAGGACTGAATGAAGCTGTTGCAACTAAAGGCCATTCACGTGCACGTCTACTTTTAGATGAATGTACATATGCTTTCAAAATGAATTGAGCTAGCATGATTAATGGATGAGGATGAGCAAATAATCGACTATCTAAAGTACCATCCGGAATAACAATATAAAGAAATGAACCAGTATTTATAATTTGCTTCATTTCTAGTATAATTTGTGCAGTCTTAAAAATGTTGCTAAGCATAAGTTTTGCTTTCTCTATACCATTTTCTAAAAGTTCCTTTTTTGTGCGTGATAAACAATCCAATGCATCCAAGAAACAATGCTGTGGTAATCTTTCTCTTGTCTATAAAAAATATGAATATAGATAAATACTTAAATTTTCAATTTAATTTAAACAAAAAAAAAACTATAATTACTCACAGTAGATTCCATTAAAGCTAGCATTGCATAAACTATATCAGACGCACAATATTTAAATCGATAACCATATTGTAATGTGAAACTAGTACCAATAATTCTATCAACATTGTATTTTCCAGCTAATTTTTCTACCATTTGCCTAAATTCCTGTCTAAGTGTAAGATCCATAGCAGTGAAACGTTGTCGTGATTGCGCTAAGGGTAATCCCATTTCTGCCAAAAGTTCTTTCAAACGTTGTTCCCCTCTAATAGACCAAAGTCGTAGCGATACTGCAGTTGGTATTGAATGTCTAAGACTTGCTTCAACAGTCCAGTGACGATAAAGTACAAGTCGAAGACTACAGATTCCATAAGAAAAATACTTACTGCACTTTATTTTATTGAACTTAAAATAATAAGCACAAAAGGATACTCTTTATCATAAGTTATTCTAACTACACTCTGTTCTTGTTGTTTATCAGTATTTATACCCTGTTTATGAGTTAATCTTGAAACATGTGCTTGAAGTGTACCTTCTTCGAGTATGCTTGTTTGTGATTCTACTTTGCTAAGAATGGCCTGTTCTGTTGAACCAATAATAGCCCACCATAGCATGTCCAAATTATCTTTAGACATATGCCAAGCCATTTCAAAAATAAGTACTGCACTCTATAAATTGGAAAAAATAAATATTATATCTATATTATGTATTTTCTCAATATAATACATACAGATTTTCCATAATAGCTATATTGTGAATAATTAAAAAGAATTGTCGCTCTATTTTCAGCCCATAATCTTTTTTCTTGTCTCTTTATTAAATCTTCTTCATTTAATCTACGTCTTTTTGTCTCTCTGGGTTCACTGTTACCATCATCAGAATTATCATTTGAAGCATCTTCATCTTCTGACTAAAAATAATGGATATGATTATATTATTATATCAAATTAAAAAAAATAAATTAATTAATAAATTATATTATTTATAAATTATATTTACCGAATCATCCCTGAACACATCATTATATTCTGGAATGTCATCCTCAGCATCTGGTTTTCCAAGAATACGTATTTGATATTCTGAATATATGTTACACAAATCATATGGTCTATGACTGTCAATTATAAAAAATGAAATAGATTCTGGAGGTTGTAAGAGTTCTACTAGGTCTATTGTACCACCACAATTTATCATAATAATATTTTTTACCTGTAAGAAACATTGTATTATTTTGTTGGCAAAGGTCAATAAATTACATAAAAATATTATGTTTACCTCTTCACAATTTTCTTCTATTGCCTGAACCATATCTTGTATACCTTGTACAGGTACAAGCGTATATAATATATTATCATTTTTAAATAATTGTTGTAAAATTCTACAGGCACAAATTGCATCTATGTCAAAGTTTACTAATAATAAACATCTCTGCATTAAAAGAAGAATACATAAGTAATTTATTTTAATGTATTAACATTTTATTTTATAAAATTATTTAGACCTTAATATTATATAATATCAAGGAAATTAAGCAAAATTTTTTGTCTTCCATTCTACTTAAACATTACTAGTGACATATTTTCTTATATATGTATATATTGTTTTAAATATTCGAAAATATAAACTGAACAATAATATCATAATTTAACCTAAAAGGAAAAGCTAATTCATTATTTTTTACATATTTACTAAAGTAACATTATAACTTACATCTCTTTGTATTACATTGTAAAATTCTTTTTCTAAGTTCGGTACGAACATGTTGCATTGATATCCGGCATCTGTGATATTTTATTTATTTCAACTTACTTTAACTCTTAACAGTTTACCGCGGAAATGGAACAACATCGACGGTGGCGTACTCTGTGATAAATAAAACAGAAATACATATATTGATTATTCAAATTTCTAGTAAAAATTGTGATAAATGACAAAAATTCGATATTTTATTCTTTTATTATTTACAAATAAACATATTATGTATTTATAAAAATTTTTTTAGTTAATAATTGTACAAATTTGCTCGATATTTTCAAATTTTTTATTAATGATAGCGTATCGATATAAATCGAATTCGATCGATATATATCAATATATCGACCTTATATGTCGATATCAATCGCTTACTTTCCGGACATGTGCGTATGGCGTCCATCGATGTGATTGCGTGCATGCGGCGAGTGATTTGCAGTTTGTCTTTAATCCACTAATTTACTTTATTATCCATATAAAAATGGCAGAAAACGGTAATTTCCATACTTAAATTGGAACTCGAATTGTATTTAATCTAGCTCTATTGTTCGTTTACATTATTTGTGTCATTCTTTAAACATTATATTGTTCAATAAATAACAGCTTCTCGCGCCTTTTATATACCCACGTTTCAGTAAACACGTGTTCTCCGGATGTTCAATTGATTCAATTTATGTTTTCGTTTTAAAAAGATTAATAAATATGTTATCAAATCGTAACTATTATATATACTTCTTTCATCTATCATTTATCGTAACATCAATATGCAAAATTATAAGTTGTAGAAAACGTAGATTGAAATTGTATAAGAGGTTAAAATCGGCATTTCTATTACAGAGAAAATTAAGAAAAAAGATAAAAAAAAATCTCTTGGAGAGATTCAAACTATTATGGCATGTGAAATTAAACCGTCCACTGAAGAAGTAAAATTAAATTGTGAAGATTGGCCACTTTTATTTAAGGTTTGTGTTCAACTTCTCAGCTAATTGTTTTATGATGTTTTTATTTTATATTATTGCTGGGTATATTCACTTTCTTGTTTGACCTGTAAATAATATTTTCTTTATTACAGAATTTTGACAAAATGTTTACTCGAACAAAACATTTTACTCCTTTAACTAGTGGTTCTACCCCACTCCATCGCTCATTATCTGAATATATAAAATCAGGTTGTATTAATCTCGATAAGCCTTGCAATCCATCGTCACATGAGGTTGTAGCTTGGATAAAAAGAATTTTAAAAGTAGAAAAGACTGGACATTCAGGTACCTTGGATCCTAAAGTATCAGGTTGTTTGATTGTATGTATTGATAGAGCAACAAGATTAGCAAAGTCTCAACAGTCAGCAGGAAAAGAATATGTGGGAGTATTTAAACTCCATTCAGCACCTGAAAGTGTTCAAAAAGTAAATTTACTATTTATTTATAAAAATTCATATACTTATGTAATCTTTATAAATATATTAATTACAAATATATTAATTAATATACGTATCATTATAGGTACATCAAGCATTAGAGAAATTACGTGGTGCATTGTTCCAAAGGCCTCCTCTTATATCTGCAGTTAAACGACAATTGCGTGTTAGAACTGTCTATGATAGCAAGTTTTTAGATTATGATGAAGAACGCAATATGGGAGTATTTCATATGAGTTGTGAAGCTGGTACATATATCAGGACTATATGTGTTCATCTTGGGCTTTTCTTGGGTACTGGTTGCCAAATGCAGGATTTACGAAGAAGTCGTTCTGGTATTCAATCTGAAAAAGATAATATGGTGACCATGCATGATATTCTTGATGCCCAATGGTTATATGATAATCATGGAGATGAATCTTATTTAAGAAGAGTAATAAAACCATTGGAAGCACTTCTTGTAAATCATAAAAGGATAATTGTCAAGGACAGTGCTGTATGTATTCATTACTTCTAAAAAACAAAAAAAAAAAAAAACAATACAAATATTTTAATGTTATTATAAAAAATACATTAATAGGTAAATGCAATTTGTTATGGAGCCAAAATAATGTTACCAGGCATTCTGATGTATGATGATGGTATTGAACTAAATCAAGAAATTGTAATTGTAACAACGAAAGGCGAAGCTATAGCACTTGGTAAATTTAGTTTCAAAGTAATATAGCAATGCCGTACAGAATATAATATCTTCGTGTTATAAGTAAATCAATCATTATTAACAATTGTTTCAGCATAATTAATATTTAATTTGTTATTGATATATAGGTATAGCATTAATGACATCGCCCACAATGACTGCTTGTGATCATGGTGTAGCAGCTAAAATTAAACGTGTTATCATGGAAAGAGATGCATATCCAAGGAGATGGGGTTTGGGACCTAAAGCATCGATAAAAAAACGAATGATAATTGAAGGAAAATTAGATAAACATGGTAAACCAAATGAAAATACACCTGCTGATTGGTTACAGAATTATGCTGATTATTCTACTACAGTTGATGTTAAGGTAATTTGGTCAACTTCTAATATACTATATTACCATGGTGATTTGAAAAGTAATATAAATATGACGAATATTTAATAACTCAAATAATTTTGCAGTCTGAAAATAATGGAGTAACAGAAGTTGCTGGTAAAAAAAGAAAATATGAAAGTACAGTAACTGAAGATATAGTTAAAGAGGAAACCGAAGATCACGAAATAACTTCACCAAAAGAAAAAAAGAAAGAAAAAAAAGATAAAAAGAAAAAGAAAAAGGAAAAGGAAAAACAAAGTATAGAAAGTGAAGATTCTGTAAAAATTGAAGAGAAAGAAGGTGAAACTATGGTAAGGAAGAATTCATTATCAAAATAGTTTCTTAATTGATTAGTGAAATTATTAATAAATAAATCAAATTTGTATTTTAGGATGTATCTGTAAAAGAAGAAAAGAAAAAAAAGAAAAAGAAAAAGGCTAAAGAACAAGAAACTCCACTTTCGAGCTAGTTTAATTTAATTTTTGTTTTTTTTTTGTTTTTTTTTTGTTTTTTTTTTGTTTTTTTTTTTTTGTTTTTTTTTTTTTTGTTTTTTTTTTTTTTTTTTTTTTTGTTTTTTTTTTAAATTCCAAGAAATCTTTTGTAATAATATTCATAAAATCCTACAAACAGTATAGAAATACCATTAAGATATCTTTATAACATTTTAGTCTTTATCAATTTTATTTAAAAAATGTCATCATTTAAACACTAATGAGAATAATTTGATATTCAGATTATGATGACATTGAGTTTTAAATAAGAGTATAATTATAAAAACGAATATTATCGTGTAAGATAAATTTTTTCACGAAACGAACAACTGTATACAATTCAAAGTTTAATAATACGGAATCAGATTCTCTATGTTTTAATGTATTTGAAGATATGTATATTCTGTGATGTAATATACAAATAGTTTGATTGAGTAACTATAACAGTCCTTTAAAAAGGATTATAAAAAATTAGTATTTTACTGCAATTGTTCCATGTATATACATACAAAATACAATTACTACAAACATTTGTAGGTATCATATTTTTTCAATTTTTATAATTAACCTAATTATTACATTGAAGGTTAATATAATTCAGTAACTATAGTAGATTGAATATTTTTTACACTGAATAGAACTCTCTAATTATCAATTTGATTTTATTATTTTAGTTTCGTTTTAGTTCAGAGATGTGCAAAATTGACTTACAAAGTCAATAGTTCCTTATCTGTACTTTTTTGTTTTTCTTTAGCAAATTTTTACTCCTACCATATTCTTCAATTTTATTGTGTTACACTATCCATGCCATGATATTGTTTTGTCTAGAACTGAAGAATTTATATGCATATTGCTGATTTGAATTATAACATCTGGAAAAAATAGAGAAGTAAGTATACTCAAATAGAGATAATAAAATAGCAATAATGTGAGAATCATTTTTGCTCCAATCAAAAGTTTGTGCACGTTTCAATATATATGTATTTGTTATGCCTTATTTTCGAAAAATAAGGACTTTGTATGTTTAGCGGGGAATTGTATTATGTTTTTAAAAATAATTTTTGATTATAGTTTATAAAAACAATATTATATAAGAAGTATGGATTAATTGTAAAAATATCTTTACATTAAAATTGTATTATAAATCATAGGAATACAAAATATACTTGTATCTCCATTTAAAAAATTTATTTTAAAGATCATATTTCAATATGTATTTTAAGAAATAGTTATTTGAATACAACTGTATCAAGCATAGCTCCCAAACATTGTACAATATTTGTAGCCATAAGTGTATCAACTTTTTCCTCTAAATGACGTTTTGGATCTTGTTTACCGACATTTTTTATAGCCAATTGCTCGGGTGTCATTTTTTCTTCATCTTCCAATGCCTGCAAGTTTAGAAATAATACATTACAATAGTATTTTATATCCTAAATAGAATTGTGTATTAAGAAAACAACAATAGAATATACCTTATTATAATTTTTAGCAAGTTCAAGCATTTCAGAAACAATATTTTCGTTAAGTCTACTATGTTCAGAGTATTCAGCAAGAGTGAGACCATCCATCCAAGTCTTCTTATGTAAATTTAATAACATCTTTTGCTCTAATTCATTTTTACGATAGTTGATACTAATGCTATAATAATGACGGTTTAACCCATGTATTAAGGCTTGGACAGAAGGTTTCTGTAGATGGCCTAAATTTGATGTAGTTTGACGAGGTTCTTGTCCTAGAACCTATAAAGATATAAAAATTATGTAAAATTTATATAAAAATTTTATTATTCTTGAGATAGTTACCATCATATTAGGATTGATTAATCTAAATGCATCAATAACAACTTTTCCTTTCACTGATTGAATAGGATCAATGACAACAGCAACAGCTCTTTCGCTAAGTGCTTCAAATGACTGTTGTGTATTGATATCTACTCCAGATAACCAGCAACCAAATCCTGGGTGAGAATGGTACCAACCTACGACCATTTCTGGTCTACCAGTTTGTTTAAGCATATCCAACATTTTAGCTTGAAACACTGGATCAACCGCTTCTACACTGACTCCCTAAATATTAAAAAAATATATTTAATACTTAACTAAACCTACTGTTAAAAATAAATATACATTAATTATTACCGTTCCCGTTTGTGGCATGGCAAAAACATCGATTACACGTACAGTATAATCGTCTACAAATTCGCCTAACATCAAACCCATAACTTCCATAGGTACTCCAGCTCGACCATGTTTTAGCATTTTTAAAAGTGCCAGTGATGAAATGTACACCTTGAAATATATGATAAATTATAGGATAATAATGAATTACAAATTACAAAGTAAATTACAATAAAATGTAAATAGAATACTTGTTCTGCAGTATCAACGACAGGTGCATCTGATGGTGGAGGTCCTTGATTCAATGGAGCTGGTAAACCACCACCCAGTCGTAGAAGTCTATCCATTTTTTCTTTATCTTAAACATTTAAATTAAATAAAAAAAAGCTTGTATAAGTACATAAGAAATATTTCTTAAATTGTAAGCTACATTGATACAGTATAATAGAGGTTAACTAATAGTTTGGTTGTATAAATTTTTCTTTCTATATATATATTATATTTTAGCGTATTACATACCAAATAATTCAAGTCCACGTTAATAAATAATTGATGTATAGTTTTATATTCAACTGCACAAAAGAAAGTATAATCCAATCATTTCTTATAAACTGACAACTCTCAAATGTGCACACTCACCAGCGCGGCGTATTGAATACTTAGAATGGCGGAACTGGAAGGAACTATCTTAAAAGTTTACTCATATTTAGCGAATCTGAGAACATTTAAATAATCGAAACAAGAAAGATGTCAGGAATCCTTCCACGGAAATATGGAACAGGACCGTATGGAATAGGTAGATGTGATAATAGAAATTATCACATATATTATTCTATTTTAATATATATTTTATAATAAAAATATGAGGTTATCTCTGTATCATGTATAATAATTCTTCTTTGTAATAGGTTAATTCTTAATAAATTTTACAAATAAACGGCAAGAAGAAAATTATGTTTTCTATCTTGTAAAAATCTAAACAAATTTACATTTTTCTTTTCATTGTATTTTTTTTAATAAGTTTTATTTTTTAAGCTATTAAAAATAATAATATTACATTTATATAGGTGATCCTGATGATAATACTTTAAGAAAGGTTGAAATAGATGTACTCATACCACAAATAATACGAGATAGAACAAGAAAAGAGAAATGTTTGGCACAAGTTGAAGGTAAAATCTGAGTTCAATAAATATTTTAGTATTCTTAATTATATAATATATGTATTTTACAGAATTCACAAAATGTTGTAAAGAAAATAATTTTATGATGATATTCAAATGTAGACAAGAAAATAATAAATTAAAAGAATGCTTAGAAAAATGGTTTTATAATAAAGATTTTCAGAAGGAATGTGAGGAAATATACCTTCAAGAAAGAACTGAATTTAGAAAAACAAATATACCAAAAAAATCAGAAAATATAACTTAATATAACTTAAGCAAATATTTTTTTAGTAATTCTTCGAGACTAAATAATATTGAATAATATTGTTTAGTCTCAATAATGTAATATAAATAATATTGAATTATTTGTAATTATATAGAAATAAAATTTTAAATAAAAAATATTTCTGTGTAATTATAAACTGGTACTTATTACAGTCAACAATACATTAACTTACTTAAAGATATTTTATAACTTAATAAAAAGTATTAAACGAGTTTATTCATAAGTATAAACATATTGTTCAAATTGCATTTATTATAAGCTCTATAAAGTAATATTTAATTTATAAAAAACAAATGATAGAAATACAGATTTTTATTTTTGTAATCAGATATTTTTAAATAAATTATATATTGACTGCTTTTAACACGAATCTTCATCATCTTCTTCTTCTACAATTATTACATCTTGATTTTGTTTTGGGTTCCATCGCCTCCATAATAATTCTCTCACTGTGAATTCAGATAGCATATGTGGACTGGGAGGGCCAGAATTCAAAGATATTGATGAAGGCCACAAAACTTGTGCAAATAATATTTCCTATTAACAAAATTAGTATTCCTCAATAGAGAAATCAATTATGAATCTTATTGATAACATAATAATCTAAAGTTCATAGTAATAATTTTATAGGTATTCAAACTTTTTTACTTATTACTTATATATATATTACCTTAGCAGCACTTTCAGCTAAGCGATCTAATCCAAATAAGTTACTCCAGGTCATCTTTCGAATACATTTACTGGGAATTAAGGTCAATAAATCTGCATCCACAACATCTATTATTACTATATAAGAGGCATGATAAAATGGTGGTCCTTGTTTGTACAATACTAAAATGATTAAAATTTTTATATGATTTAAAATATCGAATATATAAAGTTATTTGCCTAAATTACATAAAAAAAGTAATACTGACAAAAGTCTCCTCCATATTTAAGGCCTGGTTTAACTACCCAACCCTTACTTCGAAAATAATGGTATACAACATATTTTTGTATAAAATTTTTATCTTCCTTGCAAAAATATAACCAAGCACTATTAATATCCATTAAAGTACTATCAAAATGAATTAGTCGCAGACAACCTAAACCAAACATAAGGAAAAAGGTTTCTTCAAAAGTCATATGTAGAGATTCCCTGACTGGAAAGCTTTCAGATTCAATTCTTGGTTTAATATTTTCTAGATAATTTTCTGTTTCGGAATCACTGTCTGGCAGAATTAATAACTTTCCTTGTATATCATTTTTCCCTCTTTCAATATGCATACTTGCTATTACTGAATTACGATTGCCTGGATTATTCAAATCTATATGTTGATCTTCTAAATCTTTTTCATCACTTTCTTTAACAACCGATTTGTCAATGTCTTTTTCAGATTGTTTATTAATAATTACACATACATCTTCTTCAGAAGAACAAGGAACTATTTCATAGAATTCATTATCATTGATTATTTGTTTGCTGTCTTTATTTTTTGACATATTAGGTATATTCATATCAATTTCCATGATATCTGGTTCTTCATGTTTTTTTTCATTATTGAATGATTCTATTACTAAACCAAAAGAATTAATATAAAGTAAAATAATATAATAGTTATCTTTTCTTTAATGGCTTCTTAATTTTAAAATTTGCATACCTTCTCTTTTCTTTGTATCTGTAGATTGACTTGATATATCATCAACACAATTATCATTTGTCATAGATTTTATAGAGTTTTCATTATGACTATTATCTCTATAGAATTCATTGTCAAGTAATTTAACTTCTTGTAACCACTCTTGTCGACGAACCCATTGCCTATTTCTAATAAGAGGTGGTGCTCCATATCGAGCTTTTCCAAATGATGGATAGCTTCGTGATAAAGAACCCTTACCAAAAAATCCCTAAGTAAAGAAAAGAAAATTAAAAATTGTCTTTATACTTCACAATATATTATTGATCGAATAATATATCATGAAACATATATATATACATATAATATAACATATAATATATATATATATATTTTATAAGCTTAAAAATAAATTTTCTTTTTTAGAGATAATGACTAACCATGGAATGTACTGCTGTAATTTCATCTGAATCAGTAATGCAAGATCCAATGTCTGTAAGATAAGCTGTATAAACAACCCATTCTGCTTCATTTAATGCAATTGGTAGAGAAGATTTATTTTGTACTCTTGCCTTTTGTTTCTTTTTTGGTTCTCGTAAATTCATATTGTATGTATATTACTTTCTAACTTTTATGCTAAAAAATATAATCGATGATCAACACATTTAAAAATTGCTCCATTATAAATTAATAATAAAGTTAATATAATGTATATTTTATATATGTTTTGTTATTCACGCATTGCACAATAAAATTACAATGGCAATAAGAAAGAATGTGTAATTCTTTCGTTTTGACACGCTCGTATAATAATGTGCTTTCCGTGGATAAAAATCATTGCTAATAAATCGAGGCTGATGTATGGAACATTTACGATGCACGATAAGCTCTTCATATCTGAGCGCCCATTTTTCATGAACATATATATATATACATTGTTCAGAGCAAAACGTTCAATGTCTAACTTCATATGAACAATTTTGATGTCACACTAACATTCTAAGTCATATAATATAGATGTATGCCTTCAATAATTGAAATATCTAACATTATGCGAATGCCTAACTTGTACTTTCTATAATATGCCTTTTTTAAATGAGTTAAAGCATAACCATGTTGAATTTTTTGAATATACTTATAATTTTCTAAAAGTAATTAGATAATAGTAGATTCCTGTTTTATTGACCGAGAAGAGTTCGATAATAACAGAACCCTGTTTTTTAATTATCTCTTTTCTTTCGTTTCCATGTAATAATATATTTATTGGTAGTTAAAATTACCAATATAAACATTGCAGTTTATCATTATATTAATTATTATTAACTTTCGATTATAACTCAAGAATATAACCTTAAACATTTCTAAGGAATTTTTAAAAATTATTTTGTTAAATCCATTCTCAATCATTTTTAATTAAGTCTGTTTTCACCATTTTTTGTTCGTATCATATGTGACTTTAGCGACAGGTATGGACAAAATATGAATTACAAATGCAATATAAGAACACTGCCCTTACCATGTGCCGAAAGACTCCACTTGAGAATTTCACATAATAAATACCTATAAATAAAAATTATCTCGACTACAAGCTTATCCGTTCATATACGCTACTTCTGTATTATATATCCATAACTATTATTATATAACATTTTTTATTTTCTATGTTTTATTGAATTTAGATAATATTAAGAAGCATAAGGAGCAATAAAAAATATGCATTGAATTAAAGTAGAATAAATAAACCCGTTACTTTAAATATAAAATAAAATCGTTAATTAGAGTTAATGTTTTTTATACGTTCTTTTAAGAAATTATTTTAGAATTCTATTTCATCTATTTACTTATTGAAGTATGATTAATAATATATAATATAAGTATTTTAAAATTCAGTTGAGATAAAAAAGAAAAGATTTTGAAATACACAGCCATTCGCTCGGTAGTACTTGTATTACATGATTTACAATTAGATTTTGTAATACCGACCCAGGTCTCATTAAATAAAGGTTGCTGCATTTGGATAACGATGTCATATATTCTAAAATCCGCTTTTGCGAGATAATCTAATCGAATTTTCAAGCAAATAAAATTAAGTCCCCGATAAGATTTTTAACGCTTGTGCCGACACACGCGTGAGTGTTCTCCCTATTCATCCCATATTTTTACATAAAAAATCAATGATAAATCTATCACTCGATGATTCCTCGATGATCCCTGGAAAAAAAAGAAGAGAAGATGAAGAAAAGAAAGGGAAGAAATATGAAATAAAAAAAGAAATCGGAAAAAGAAAAGAAAAGAAGTTAATTAAAAAACAGAATATGTTTATATTGCACAAGATCAACCAACCCGAGATAAAAATTTTTAAAGTATTGGAATCTTATATTAAAATTATTTTAAGTTTTTCGCACGTAACAATTCTTGTGACATTTAATCTTATATTAATCTTCGTGATATAGAAATCAGTAGTGGGTGCACGAACTTTTCCCTTTGTATTGCAAATTTCGAGAGACGCCACAGTACAAAACTTTTTACGCGAAAAACGTCGAAAACAGTATTTACGCCAACAATGTGAACAGGCGTAATTTTTGAGGAATTTTAATGAACAAGGTCTCATTTTAAACACGAATGTTTCGTCTAGGACATAACTTTTTCGAATTTTTGAAAAAGTTTTTTATTCGTCCAACGTTAAACCATTCTCGAAAAATATTATTTTTAACACGATTTTTTTTAAAGAAAATAAAGTTTTTTCAAAAAGTCAAGAAATATATGTCCTAGATTAAACCTTCGTATTTAAAATGAGATCTTGTTCATCAAAATCGGTTTAGATTTACGCTTCTTATTGATAGCGTAAACTTATAAAGCCAGATAAAATTATAAAGCCAGGGATAGTAAACAGCCTTAATAACAGTATTTATTTATCAAATATTTAATATATTATATATTTTTTTCTTTTATAATAAGAATGTATGTGTAATTATAATAAAAAGATATACAATGCAAAGATATAGTTAGATGTACATTTTTATTTTATTTTTCAATATATTTTAATAAGAAATAATCATGTTAATTCAAAGCGATATTCAACATTTCTGATATATTAATTATTTTTTCTCTTGGCTTTCCCATTTCTTTACCTCTTTGTCTTTCTATTTGATCTATTTTCTCCCAGCCACTATATGATACCGTAGGAATATTCTTTAAATTAAGAACTTCATGAAGACCTTCAGAACCTGGCTTATTTTCTTTAATTGAAAGTTCTTTACTTATGAGTGAAGCAATCTGAAATGCATTTGTCATTGTAGATAATATTACTCCAACAGGCCCAGTAGCAACCCAACCAGCAGCATAAAGATTTTCTTTTACTTTTCCAACACTTTTCACGCAACCTTTTTTGTCATCAAATGGTATTGATTTATCTATTTGTACAGATCTATAACCAATGCTTCGAAAAGCAATACCACATGATATTTGTTCCATTTCATCTGTAGGTCTTGCCTTTTGTGAATTTATGTTATCTCCTTCAAGTTTATTAACTGAAAACTTTATCTTTTCAACATTTTTAAAACCAAGAAATTCTATAGGACTTCTTAGAAATATTGGATGTAGTTCTTTTTTAACTGTGGTATAATTCATAGATTGTTCATTTAGGGATTTCAACATAAGTTCCGTTAATCGTTTTCTTGGTCTTGTTAACATAGGAACAATTTCATTTATGCCATTAAAATCTTCTGCTCGCCAAAATGTTTTACAATTTTCAAGTTTTAAAATTTCTCGTAATTCTGCAATTGTAAATGCAGCTTGCAATGGACCTCTTCTTCCTATTAATCGAACTTTACGCACTTTACTTGTTGAAAGATGTTCCAGTGCATGTGTCGTTATATCTGTACACTTTAAAGGAATCATAAGATAAGAAATGATATAAAACAATTTGTTGAACACACACATATATATATATATATATATATATATATATATATATATATATATATATATATATATATAGTTTATAAAAAAGTCTATACCTTAAGATGATCAATAGAAGTCAAAAGAATTCTTGCAATATCTATTGCCACATTACCTTGACCCAATATAATAGCTTCTTCTACATCTAAATTTATATTTAAATTTTTATCTTTTGGTACACCATTATACCATCCTACAAATCGCCGTCCTGATATTACATTACTTAAATCCTCTCCAGGAATATTAAGTAATTTATCCTCTTCTGCTCCATAAGTCTATAATATCAAATACAATAATACCAACTACATAGAAATATTAATAAAAAATATTGTACAACAATATATATATAAACTAGTCATATTACTTACAAGTAGCACGGCATGATATATTTCTTGTAATTGATTAACTGTAATATCTCTTCCAACATTAACATTACCAATAAATTGAACGCGTGGATTCATAGCAGTTTTATGAAATGTATTAATAACATTTTTCACTTCTGGATGATCTGGCGCTACACCAAAACGTACTAAACCAAATGGGACTGGTAGTCTTTCTAATATATCAACTCTAATATCTTTCGATGTCTAAAATAAAACTTTAGATATTATAAATCTAGTCTATGTTTGAACAATGTATGGTTATCTATTTTTACCTTCAGTAATTGTTGAGCAGCATAAAAACCTGCTGGTCCTGCACCAACAATGCATACTTTTGGTATAATATTTTCAGTAGAAAATGTACGTATATTATTAAATATCGCGCGATACTTCATTATGAATATTAATTCGTATCTAAAAAATATATAAATAGACAATAATGAATATTAATGTATATCATTAATTTTTACGTTAAATTAAAAGACTGCCGAGGCTTACACTACTATATATATATTAAAACTATTTTAAACTTATATCTTATGTTTTTCTTATTATGATAAAAAAACTGTTCTTTTTTATGTTTCTCAAATTTGTTCTAAATGTCCACCTTTCCAAGTGTAGAAATGTAGGTCAATGCTTAATACATTAAACATGAAGACTTTCATATATTGTATACATTTTATTTTATTGATGTTTATAATTAAATCAAACAATTATATTGTTAATGTCATATTAATACTCTTATTAATACTGTTTAACATATATTTTTTTTATAAAAGCATTTATATAAAACAAGATGATAAGTTCTAAATAGTCTTTATACATAATAAAATAAAAATATACATTTTTAATAAGTACACATTATTATATTTATAATATAAGTGTTTTTTTTTTATAAAAATTTATCTAACATTTATTAATCTTTTCCATTGCATTATTTATAAGATAATTAAGATATGTTTTAATAATCCAGTGATTGCACTCCACAATTTTAGGATATGCAGCCCAATCTAAACAAAGAAAAAGATATATTGTCTAATCTATTTTTTTGAAAACACACAATACATTCATTATAATAATATATCTTACCACATAAACATGATACAGGAATTAAAGACAAAATAGTTTTTCCTTCTGTCCGTAATGCATTTTCGGTAATATTAATTTTCTTCCAAATTTTAAGTATGTTCGCATCATTTTTATAGTTTTTCAAGATTATTAAGCACCCTACTTTATCATGACGTTGTAATTCTACTGAATAAAATGTGCAATTCAAAAGATAAAGAAGACTAACGTTTAAACGCGTTAATAAAGAATAACCAATCAACACAAGATTGTCTTCATATACAAGCATTTGTAATAGTTGACAAAGTCTTGAAATAATTTTAGAATTACAATAAATATCTGTGTATTGAAAACACAATATTTTGTAATTTGAAGTTGTATGTAATTCTTGTAATAAATTGTGTGTATCTTCATCAGAAGGGAAAAACTTTTTCAAATGCATTTTATCCAAAATATTTTCTAAATCAATTTGTATATTTAGAATTCTTGAATCACAAAATCTTGAATTAAATAATTTGTAGAATGGTTTTCCTGTGCAATACTCTAAAATTATGTGTTCATCAGAAAACTGAAACTACAAAATAAAGAAATATAGAATTTTTCTGATAATTAGAAGGGGTTTGATTCATTTACACAAATATATTAATATACAGTTAGAAATTATCAATATTAACTTACATTGTATGATTTACTCATTGATATTTCATTGAAGATTTCTTTTGTTACGTCCCAATATTCTATTAAACGTTGCACTGGTGATTTGTTTGCTTTTTCACGACGCTTATTATATGATTCACATAATTGTTTCCTACCTACTTTTATAAAAACTGTATTTCTTGATTCATCTTTCTCTACTATTTCACAGCCAGGTGGCAGTGGCTTCAAGTTGCAATCTTTCAAATATTTTTCGGCAACAAGTTTTTGTATAATTTTTATTTCATCTATGATTTTATCATCAACTTCTTCATTAGATGTAAAAGATATTACATTATTCATTATAACAGATGTTTGTATCTCTTTAAAAAACTGACTGCAGTTTATTATTTTTGTTATAAAATCAGGATGAATATCTTTTCTGCAAAATATTGCTGCACTAGGACCAGATTCATAGTACTTCTGTAATGTTCGTAAATAAGGTGCGATATATTCTGATCCTTTAAAATTTATGCATACAACATAAGTTTCTGAATTTCCTTCTTTACTAGTAGCTGGTTTTGTTATAAATACTTTATAAAAACAACAAGATAATAAATAAAGTAGACATATGGAACTGTGCTCAAAAGTAGTGAATATTTTTATTACAAAGCTTCCTCCTTCATTTAGTAAATGTAATGCAGCAACTGTTTCACAATAATGTAAGTGAGATACAACTGTTTCTTGTTCACCTGGAACATCCATACAATCTATACTTCCATCAGCAGTAATCAACAATATATTATTATTTACTTTTGCCATTTTTACAAGTTTATTTAAATTTTGCAGATCCATAAGATTTCCAGTGTTGTCTTTGCCAAAACACCAATGATTCAATGTATGTATAATGAAACGGTCATCATTAATCATTTTAGACAAAGAATTTCCTTCATAATATGGATTTAGTGACGTAGCTATCCAGTTCCAATTAAATCTAGTATTCGTTTTTAACCAATGGTTTAACGATGTTATGAAAGCTCCAGGAGCTTCACATAAGTGTACAGAAGTAAAACTATTATTGTTTTTTATAATTTCATTTTGTGGCACAACATCAAAAAAACTTAATATTTCATAAAATTTACACCACGCTTGTGTCACTAATTCTGGTTTGATATCTCTTCGTACACGGTATTGTACTTGTCCTGCTTTATTTCTATTACTTGTATGTGCATGCCACTCACCCAAATTAAAACTATTTAAACGATTTTTCACTTCATTTAATTGATCTTTCAAGATCTGTAATTCTTTAACATACCACGGACTTTCTTTAAACATGCAATCTGGCCTAGGTAAAGAATAATTTTCTTCCATCGCTATAGGAAAAGTTTTACTAAACAAATTAGTAATACAAGGAACATTTTTATCAATTAAAGAAGTTTGTTCATACATCATTGTATTTGATTTCTTGTTTCTTACTTTTTATCAATAATTTTTATGTATTCTGTCTCTATGATATAGAGATAAAACATGAATAAATAAAATATTCATTTATTATTTTTTTAACAAATAATAAATATTTATAAGTATTTTATATATAACATTTGTTATACGAAATACTATTTTATAGCAGCATAATAAGCTTTACTATATAAAAGATCAAGCACAGATTATTCAATTTTGCTTATATCAACAAAACATATAAATCGGTCTATCCGATTCTTTTATCTATAGATATACAAAAATAGACACTGTTTAAATGGCACGTTTAAATATTGGTCGTATGCAAATTTGTAATTACTTTACGGGCGAAATGCCTCCGTCATAATCGCATAGTGAGGTTAGAGTATATTGTGTTGCCTCGGCAAATGTCTTTTTTATTCATCTATATTCATATTGATTCTCACCTGTTTGGTACGTCGTCAATGAATAAAAATTCCTTTAATACAATCTCATTTGTGTAAAATAATAGTACATAGATACAATTATTTCTTTGACAAGATGACTGGGTTATGTAAATCGATCCTTATATACTTTACATTTTTTTTCTTCTATAGCAAAAAATTGCACAACTTGAAATTACATTTTTTAATATTAAATAAAATTTTTTGTTATTTAATTTATTAGAATTCTTAATAAACAAAGTAGAAAAAAGTTCGAATATTAATATAGCAAGTTTACGATTGATTATTTTTACTTACAAATTTAATTATTAAAAAAAAAGAAAAAAAAAAAAAGAAAATTCATTAAAACGATCATATAAATTGGAAAATACCAACAGAGATACATTTCATGTTATTTAATTGCTATCATTGAAAATTCCGAGTATAATGTTCATGCATAGTTATGAATTTGATTTCATAACCATTGATATGTATAAATCGTTTCATTATTATTTTTGATGTTTAAAAACAAGAAATAAAGTTTTTAATATAACAGCAGATATTTCTTCGATCGTTGTTTCAAAAACATTTGTTGCATATGAGATATCAACGAGAGAAAAATAGATGGAGAGAGGAGAAGAAAGAGGGGGGAAGAAAAAGAGGGGTGATGAAAGAGCGACAGAGTGGGAAAAAGAGAGAGAGAAAGAGAGGGAGAGAAAGAGAGAGAGAGGGGAAGAGAACAAAAATTACGTACGATGAACGTTCGATATAAAAGACGTGCACGTGTTCTGTACCTTCAGTGAGACTTAAGCTATTGTTCGTTGTTCGTTGAAAAAAATTAATTTGTTTATATTTAAATTTTATCAATTGTTTTAACTAAAATATTAAAGATTTATTATAATTTTTATAAACTATCAAAGATCTTTGACATGTAAGTACATCATGTTATTTTTTGATAGTTATAGATAGGGATGAAAGGGATACTACGTTTTTTTTCTTATCAATATTGCGCAAAGTATCAAAAGTACATTGTTCAACAATTGATATAAAAATGAATCTATTTTTTTTTTCCTCTAAAATATATTATCTTTGAGAACAATCGATTATCGTATTCTCTCAAATGATTTATTAAAATGAAACACGTTTATACGTTTATATATATATATTTTTTTCTTTTCTTTTATCAGAGTGATCGCGAATATAATGATGTATAATAAACTATAAATAAAAAGTTGTAAAACAAAAATAGGAAGATAATATATTTTATAATAAATTTATTTACGAAATGCATAACAACATTATCTATTTATCACGTAAATTTCAAATTGTCTTGATCGCAAAAATTCAAATTGTGTGCACGAGAGAGGAAATAATTTATTAATAACATTATTTTTGCTGTTGCTATTTTTTTTATCATTGTCCACGATATTTTTCTTTATTTTGGTTTCTTTTCTTTTTTTTGGAAGAAAAAGGAACAAAAAAAACAGAAAAAAGAAAAACCTGAATATTCTCGAAAACAAGTTTGTCAAGATAAGCACTCATGTTTTCTTTTTATTTTATTATTATTTTCGATAACAATAAAGTAACGAGCAAGAAGAATATTTACACGAAAATATTAAATATTAAAAAAAAAACTTCTGCATTTAAAATTATATTACGTTTATAAGACTTGAAAATTCTTAATAGATTATAATAATATAAAATTAGATCGATAAAATCGAACTTACCTGTGAATATTTTTCAATATATTTTTGACAATAAGTTAGAATGTAATCAAATCTTTTATCATTCAAAAAAATCAAATTCTTTTAACCTTCTTCTCCTTTTTTTTCTCTCTGTTTCTTTCGTTACATAATGTTGTTTGACGTCTAAGACAACGATATATATATTGCATATATGACATATTCGTTAATTTTTTCGATTTTTTTGGAAATCTTCCGAATATTTAATTGCGCATTTGACGATTTCTTTCAATTTCTTTTCTTTGCATTAATAATTTCAAGATTAAATTTTTTCTTAAAATATTTCAAATTTTAAATGGTAGTCCTTGTTGTGTATATTATGCGTTGTATATATATATATATATATATATATATATATATATATATATCCGTATATCTTCGTCTAATGTAAAATGGAATGCAATTAAAAATTTACTTAATAAATTATTTAATATTGTTTAATGAAAATTATGTCGTGATTTTTTTTTGATAAAGTACTATTTATAAATAAATAATGTTTTTTATTTTTTATATACTTAATAATTATACATTGTATTAACGAATCAAAAATTAAAGAACTTGATTTAATGAAAATTTAATGCAATTTTCTTTTTTATAATTTCTGAATTTACTAAGTAGATGTGATAAATTATTAATGAATTTAAAGCAATGTCAAGAGTCAACAGTATTTAAATACATATTTATAAAAAGACGATTACTTATATAATCCTCTTTAAATTATTCTTTTTTTCTATTTTTTCTATTAAAATAAAAAAAAAAGAAGAAAAAAAAATAGTTTTTTACATGATTTACATATAAATAAAAACTAAAAAAAAAAAAGAAACAAGAAATTAATTAGTTGTTGAATGTTGACTTCAAAACATATAATTTGCATATTAAAATAGTTTCTTCCGGTGCGTTCCATATAATGTTAACTGAAATTGTATATTTAATAAATTAATTATAAAATAAAAATTGAGTCATATAAGCGAAGTATACTTTTGTAATATCATTGTCATAATTCGCTAAATTGTCTATATCGAATTTAAAAATTTATCGTTTCATCATGAGATTTTTACTTTGTTTAATAAAACAAAAAGAATGAGAAAAGAAATCCTTGTGGGTTAATTAATTTTTCAATTAACAAAATATCAATTAAAAATTATATTGTATATAATATATTGTGTTTGTGTTTAAACGCATAAATCATTTTAATTAATGAATTATTTTCTTGTTTTTCTTTTCTCTCTCTCTCTCTATCTCTCTCTCTCTCTCTCTATCATCAATGTCTTCTTTTCAGGATGTTAGGTGTTTCTTGTACTAGCATTGGAGTAGCGCTTGTTCTACTATTGGTAATGATATGCACCCTAAATGAGAGCTTTAGATACAGAGCGAAATTTTTAATTTTTGGATTAGAATCTCTATTCTTCACAATCATTTGTTTACCATTTATGTTCTTCAATATCAGATCTTGGAAGAATGCGTTGTAAGTAATAAAAATAAGATCGATATAAATATATTTATTATTGCTTATATTTGTAAAAAAAAAAAAACGAAAGAACGATACTTCGAAAGAGTCTTTTATATATATATATATTTTTTAGAGTACCTGCTTGGCTTTTGAGTAAATCAACTAATAAAGTATTAGGAATTAAATTCGAGGTACATGGAAAAGAAAATATTATTCATGATTCTGGTTGTATTGTTTTGATAAATCATCAGAGTATGTTGGATTTGGGAGGTAAGATATCTAAAAAAAAAAAAAAAATATCTTTTCTCAAAATCGTATTAATTATTCTTATTATTAATTGTATTACAATTGTTCACTAGTATTGGCACAATTGTGGCTAGTTATGGAGAGATGCACCGTTATATCTAAGAAGGAGATTTTATATTTTGGACCATTCGGTCTTGCTGCTTGGCTATGGGGTACAATCTTTATCGATAGACGAAATGTTGAAGAATCTCGTAAGGTTGTGAATTCAACGTGTGAATATATACGAGAATCTAAAGTAATTTTTTCTTTACGATATATTCTTATATTTATTCTTAATAATCTATATATCGACTTGATATATTTGTTAATATTTCTTTTTAGATGAAAGTTTTATTCTTCCCAGAAGGAAAACGACATAGCAATAATACATTGTTACCTTTCAAAAAAGGACCTTTCCATTTAGCTATAACATCGCAAGTGCCGATTCTACCAGTTATCGTATCGAAATATTTCTTCTTAAATAGTAAATCAAAGAGATTTGGTTCTGGTACAGTGATCTTCTTTTATTTTCTCTCTCTCTCTCTCTCTCTCTCTCTCTCTCTCTCTCTCTCTCTCTCTCTCTCTTCTCTCTCTCTCTCTCTCTCTCTCTCAATATTTCATGTTGTATCGAATATCGTTCATTTGTTTCTATTATTTTTAATCACACGATTTAATTATTTAATGAATCTTATTTTTTTTATATTTTTATACCAGGTACTAGCTATATTACAATTTTACCTCCAATTCCTACGAAAGGCTTGACCAAAGACAATATGCAGGAGTTGATGGATAAATCGTATGAATCTATGAATACGGTATTTGTACAAACATCACAAGAAACTCTTACAAAACACATGGAAAGTTTAAAAAATGATTAACATCTATTTATGATTTTCTATACGTTATATGTACATATGCAGTCGATTGCATAACAGGAACACATCTAAAGGTTCTTCGATATATTAATTCTTAAGTTAATAATCTCTTCTAATTGCGTAAAAGAAATAATAGAATTAATTATGAACAAATCTACTATCGAACAATGTACCTGCACAAGAGATCGTTTGTTCCTTTATTTTTTCTGTTATACAAATTAGTTGTTAATAAATTCTTTATTTAGAAAAAAAAAAAAATTTCTATTCTATAGAAAACGTGTATTAGAGGTAATTACGATATTAATTTCCATATCTATTGGCAAATTTATAAAATGGTTGAATGAAAAAAATTTGCAAAAGATGTTCAAGCTTTTCTGTTCGGAAAGATCGAAATGTTGCTTATCTTAATAATTTTCTCATTAGTTAAGAAATATGAAATAATTTAATTTTGAATTTCATATGTAAAGTTATACGCTTAAAAACGGTTAGCACATTAAAGGGGGAATTTATCTATCGATCCGTCTTCTTTAAATAGACTTATCATATTATGGTGTTATTATTACAATCTATCGGTTAAAGTAGTGAGAGCGTTAATAATATGCCTTGAATATGAATTTTGATATTTATAAAAGATTCTATTATTCGTTTGAAGAATATTTAATATTAGAAGGTATATCGAGTAAGTCTTGAAATATCAATGATGTTTAAAGTAGACAAAAATGAAAAAAAAGCGGCTATTTTATACGTCCGTATTAAATATCATTTATTTCGTATATTATACAATTGTCGTCAGTCAATGTCGCATATTCCTAATGGACCAGCTTTCCAAAATTTCATAATACAACATTTTTTTCCTTAGCACGTGTTACGTACATACGTACGTACATGTAATACTATTAATTCAATTGACTATGTACACAATCATACCACTTCGACGCTTTTTTACTTATTTAATGAATCTTATTCGGTAACGCACGACAATTTATTTGGCGTTTTTACTTGTCCTTATATATGTGATATATATATATACATATATATATATATATATATATATATATATATATATATATATATATATATATATATATATATATATATATATATGCACGTACAACATACGTACAAACATTCGTCCCCTCCAATACAAAAAAAAAACAAAAAAACACACATACAGATACAACAGCCGCCACGAATTAATATCAAGATATAACAATAACAAATAAAAAATACATACAAACTGTCAACGTTGTGCGTACTGTAATATAAAAAAAAAAAAAAAAAAAAAAAAAAAAAAAAATTAATAAGACTAAAGTTCAAGTATATCTAAAATTAATCTATTATGTATCACACCGCCGTTGAATTTGTTCTAAATTCGTTGTTTCTATATAAATTATCTAAATTATTTTATCTTAATCGAAGCTTAAAAGAATTACTAAAATGGCATCGATACGAAGTTTCAAATTAAATAAATTAGTACGGGATGGAAAAAACGGAAAGAGAGTAGTATTTTCATGGTTGAAGTTCTATTTCGACAATAAATGTGTTTTGGAATGCTGCTGGTGCTCACTTTTCTTCTCTATTTATTATTCTTTGTAGCACCAAAGGAAGAAAATCTTCCTAAAAACACGTTTCTAATATCGAGGTAATCGAGGTATAATCGAGTTACTCCTTTCTCTATCTCTATTTCTCTCCTCTCTCTCTCTCTCTTTCTCTCTCTCTCTTCTCTGTTTCTGTCTCTGTCTCTCTGCATATAGTATTCCTCTTTTTTTTCTGTATATAGGAAGAGAAAGAAGGAAAAAAAAAGAAGAAAAAAGAAAAAAAACCACACATTTTTCTGGACCTATATACATATATATATATATATATATATATATATATATATATATATATATATATATCATGGAAAAGAGAAACATCTGCTGCGAATAAAGAAACACGTTATTGTGATCTTATAGATAAGATACAATATTATTTATAATACCAATATAGTAAGGGGAAAAAAAAAACAAAATGGAAGAAAGAAAAAAAAATCAAACAAACAAAATAGAAATGAAAAAGAAAGTACATATGATTGTCATTTAGGATTATATCATGATATTAAAGAAAGAAACGAGTTACGTTCGATTTTTCTTCGATTATTCAACGCTATTAATAATACTGATCGTTCTCCAACGACTCCTGACATTTTCTCCTATCCTTTGGAAATACGCAATAACGAAACTTGTGTTTACAAAAATTCGATGATCTGGAGGAGAGAATAGTAAATACATATTATATAACCTTGATAATAATTTCGTTCACGTATCCATTGGAAGGTGTTAGTTTCATCGTATCTTCTTCATATTTGTCCGTCCACATTTCCTCATCTAACACAGTTCTATCCATTCTTGTTTCGCGATCCATGGGAGAGGATTTGTTCTTCTCTCCTTGAACGCAACTACAACGATGTCCTTTGTTGATGTTGCATTATCTCAGTTTAGTCGGCCGGAATACGGTCTATCAGGAATACGGGGAGGAATATTAGGTACGGGACGCCTACAACATACATATATCATGAATACTTATTCGTTTTCTAATCATTTATAAGCATGATAGAGAGAGTGAAAGGAAAGAAAAAACGATAGATAAAGAGGTAGAGTTTATAGTAAAGGGTTAAAAGATATCAACAATTTATAAAAGGAAGAAGAATAAAAAAAAAAAAAAAAAATAAATAAAGAAAAGAAAATAAACAAAAAGACCGGTTTGATATAATTTATCAGTGGCGGATTTATGCACAGACGATCGCCTTGAGTCTCATAAAACATGAGTTTTCAGACGATAATATAAACATTTATATTATATAATAAATTTAACTTAATTAACTTCAATTAATTAAAATTTAACTTTAATTAACTGATAGCCAGTATATATATATATATATATATATATATATATATATATATATATATATACATATATATATATATAGAATTTTTATCTCTATATTTTAATGATTATTATCGAATTTAGACAGTGTATTTCTCATTTTATCATTTGCATTAACAGTTGAAACGAAAAATAAATAAATAAATAAATAAATAAATAAATAAATAAATAAATATATATATATATAAATATTTATTTATTTTAACGAGATCCTAAAAATTTCTAATTTTTTGAGTCCCTTGAAGGCTAAATCCGCCATTGCAATTAAAGCTATAATTCAAGATATCTTTCATACGGACGAATAAAAATTATCGGATTTTGTTCACTGAATATATCAAATTATTAAGCTTTGAGATAATCATAAAAGCAGAGATAGCAACATATATTAGTACTATGAGAAGATAAAGAGAAAAATTATATAAGAATAAAAGATTATAATTATATATAATAATAATAATAATAATAATAATAATAATAATAATAATAATAATAATAATAATAATAATATAATATATATAAAATAAAAGATTATAAATGATAATGCGTTCTAAAGATGATTTAACATAAGGCTATGAATTATTATTGATTTAAAAAGATAGCGCACTTGGTACAGCTATATGAAATTGAATAGGACTATATTGAATAGGATATATATGAAATTAATGGAAAATTAAATACTTTTAAAACGTAACCATGCGATATTTAAAAACAAACACACAAGCAAAACGAATGCTATTGAAAGGACTTTCGTTTTTTTTTTTTGTTAATACAACATCGTTATCAATATAAAAATATGATTTAACGATTAATGAATATGTTGACAAGAGAGTCCTTTCAAATCGACGAAGTTACTACATTCATTGTTAATATTACTTCGCGAACATTATATCCTGGAAGCTTGGAAAGAAATATTCGATAGTTTTAAGTATGAGGTTTTATGACAAAAAAATACACACAGAACGCGAATACGCATCCCTGCATAAGGGGGTAATAAATAATATAGTTAATGTTAAAATAATTTGATTATGTTACTTAATGTCGAGTGAAGTTTTAGTTTTATGAGTTTTTGTGTTTTTTTTTTCTTTTTAGTTCCCCAGCAGAAATACGTGCCTCAACGCTCGCATAAGAATCTTATTTTTTTCTTTCTTAATTCTTATTAATTTTTACAATATATATATATATATATATATATATATATATATATATATTATATATATATATTTTTTTTTATAACATCATTTCCTATATACACATTTATATTTCAAAAAAATTATGTATGTGTTTTTCTTTTATCGCGTGTGTCATAACACGTATACGTACATACATCATTACAGTAGAGTATTTTTATAATGTCTTTTTTCGTTTGTTTTTCTTTTTTTTTTTTTTTTTTTTTTTTTTGAGAGATATTAACAAAGTAACCTTTTAACATTCGGTATAATTTATTCGCGAGCAATGTTCCATCTTTTTCTTTTATCTTTTGTAAGAAAATGTACTTAAATAAATTATAAGTTTTATAAGAATCCAAAAAAAAAAAAAAAAAAAAAAAAAAAAAAGAAAAAAAAACGAAAAGAAATAAAAAAGAAAAACAAATCAAATGTCGTTCTTTTTTTCCTCTTTGTTCTTCCATATCCTTTAAAGGTTACTTCGCCGTTTTATTAATAGAACAATAATAATAATTATCATACAAATAGTATGCAATTGATTTATTAACCTAATTCCATTTTAATTTTTCTCAATTTCAAGATATTGTTTCTAATATTATTGCACACGCTTAGTCTACATTCTCTAAAATATGAGATAACGCGTAGATAAATAATGTGTGATTAATGATCTATTTCAGTGTATCATTAATTATCGTGCCTATCACATTTTTGGATTTAAGCATTTCTATATAATAGAGGACGTATAGCAAAGAATTCCTCGCGTCTTTGCAAACGACAGCGGTCTTTCTAATTTTTCTTTTATTTTCATATTTTCTAAAATATATATATATATATATTTTTTTTTGTTTTAACGAATATCTTAATTCGTAATATTATTAATTTTTCTTTATTCGTAAATAATATTTGTAAATCGCAATACGATAAAAAAGATAAAATTATATGTAGAAAAAGTAAGATTATCAAAATGTATGAATAATATTTGGATAACATAAGTCGTAAAAATTCATTTATCCCTCTTGTTAGAACAGACTGTCCTCCAGTCCTTAATAAAAAATAACATATGATTAATTAGCTCAAAGGTATAATATTTAAGTTCCTCGAGGTACTTTCTCTCACGAACTCTTTATTTATTTCAATTGAAAATATTTAAGCTATTAATGTGATATAGAACATTCGTAGATTAATTTTTTCTTACAAGGCAATGAGACTAAATGTTTTGCTATCGCGTTATCCATCTAATGATCTTACAAAATGTTTTAATTTCTCTTCCTCCCTCCCTCCCTCCCCCCTCTCACTCTCTTTCTTAACGATTTTTTATTAATTTGTTTATTAATAATAATGTCCTAACACGAATATGTAACGTTTAATTAACATTTCCTTTTTTGATTACTAATTATAAGCCAATATATTTCGGCACGATTTGGTATAATGCACAAGAGATATTATAAATCAAGCTTCGTATTAGTATTCTAAAAAAATGGTTTGGTTATTAAATTGCAATGTTGAATGAATTGGTTAAATGTAATTATTGAATATTCGAAGGACGTTTCTCGAATCGAGATATCTCTTGTAGATAGAGATTTTTTTTGTTTGTTTTATAATATAAACTATAAATAAGATATACATATATAATATTCGAAGGAAGACAAGTATCGGATTCATATTTTTTAAAAACGTTCCTTTTTCTCGTTCTATAAGATAACTTTTGAATAATTAATTACTAGTTTCACTTATGCATTAATAATAATAATAATAATAATAATAATAATAATAATAATAATAATAATAATAATAATAATAATAATAAACATTTTGGCCAAAAGTAAAATGTAGAAAATTTTGGCAATTGGACGATGCATATGAAGTTTAATACATTTTTTTAATTGATGCGAGAATTCTTTCTTTTTTTCTTTCTTTTTTTTTTTTTTTTTTTTTTTTTTTACTTAATTAAAATATAAGTAACTATTGTATGAATCTATTTATTGAAAATTATATTAATAAGCATTAGCTTATAATTCGTTGATTAAAAAATAAATTAATTGTTTCACCGAAATAACATTCTAAAAATGTCTATATAAAATGGATTCTTTTTCTACTCCTCAAGAAATTCTCTTATGTATGATAATTCAACTTAATGGAAGAAAGAGATTTTCGCTGGAACGGAGAACTCCATCAAGCATATATATATATATATGTAATAATAATAAATTAGATAAGAAACTAAATCCAACACGTAAACTAATGATGAACTAATGATGAACACGTGTTACGTTTAATATTTGATATGTCCAATCGAAATACTATAATCCATAAAAGACTGATAACTTTATTTCGACGCTTTTTACTTTTTAATCTGTTATACTCTCGTAATGAGACAAATAGCATAAAAGGAACTTGTTATTTAATTAAAATCATAAAGAAATCTTAAAATATGATTTAAGCCAGCAAATGACTTAGAAAATAGATACATAAAACGAAATTGATAGCAATAATAATAATAATAATAATAATAATAATAATAATAATAATAATAACAATAATAATAATAATTATAATAATAATAATAATAGTAAATGACCATATAAATAATCGAAAGTTATTCATCTTAATTAGATCACGAACTATTCACTCTGATGTTTTTTTAATCCTTGGAATGATTAAACCAGTTATTACGTTACACTGTACAAGAGCATTATAATAATAATATTAGTCGTGGTTGCTTTCAAAACAAATATATCAATTTTTGTTTTTTAACGTTCTTCTTTTTCTCTTCTTTGACTCTCTTAAAGATTAATATATACGATATTCACTCAGGTATTAATATTTTGTATGTGCATGTGTGTGTATGTGTTCGTGTATTGCTCGTAAGGAAGCATTTATATACGAGCAATTTGAAGCATTAATACATAGAAGCTTATATAATTCCGATGTGCTTCGGTTTATTCGTATAATTTTAGGACTCGTGTGTTCAATCAATGTTACGCTATATATCAAATATCATCTATATATATGTAGATAGACATCATTTATATATATTTGATATTGAAAAGCGATAAATTTCTTGGTAATCATGTACATTATGATTATTATGATTAGGCCTATTAACATTGACACTTGATATATTATTTGCTGCTATTTATTCTTAACATGATGATTTGTAAATTGTATCATTATATAAAGTCCAAAAATACTCATAAGAGATAAGATATAACAACGGCCGAAGCACATCACTCTTATGAAAAAGCAAGTGCATATCCATTATAGAATTATGTGTGATCTTTTTTTTTTTTTATATATACATATTTCATCAAATCAAAAAATTTCATTAAAAAAAAAAAAAAAGCATCATCGGGGAGCCTAAGAAACAACAAATATTTCCAAATACAGCTCCTGAATGCTTGCTATGTGATGCGTGTGCGCATGTGTTTATATATATATATATAAACATAATATATATACACATACATACACAAAAAAATATATATATATATATCATCGTTAATTACATTATAACGAATATGCTTATTGTATTCTCAATCGAAAATGCGAGCTACTTTATTTATTTATTTATTTTTTTATTTATTTACGACTATTCTCAAAGAAAAAAATCCGCGAATCAGGAATTTCATGCAAATTTCTCGAAGCTTTCTACACTATATCACATCCTATGTCTGAGTGACATGTTTTTTTATTTTATTTTATTTTTATTTTTTTTTAATTTTTATCATTTATTATTTGCTATAATAATTTCATATGGATTGATAATTAATCATCGTTTCATATGTTTACTATACCCAACCATGTATTACATAAAATCAACCGTCCACCCATTAATAAATTTATAACGAATAAAGTGCGGTCAATGTAGTAGGAGGAAGAGAAAAAAAAAGAGAGAGAGAGAAAGAGAAAGAAAAAGAGAAGAGAGAGCAAAGAAATTTCATGTATCATAAAGATGATGATTTAGAAGTTCTATAATATACGATGATTAATCGTAATTCATGGTTTTTTCTTTTTCCGAAAAATCGATCCTTATAACATATTTGAAAGATATTCAACTCTTTCCAACAGCATGACATTTTCATGAGTACTCTTATAATGAGTTAAACGTGCCTCCTAATTATATATATATATATAATATAATTATATATATATATAATTATATATAAAATATATATATATATTTTATATTTCTTTTTCTGTTAAATATTCTGAGATACATTTAACGAGCAATTTATTAGGAGTGCTTCGTATAAGTATTCCATTTTCTTCGGATTAATCGATATTATTATAATATGCCATATCGTAATCTGTTTTTGATAAATTTTAGATCTCTCAATAAACAGAATATATATATATATATATATATATATATATATATATATATATATATACACACATATATATTATAGAAGGTTATTAGATATGTTTTAAAATGTATTGGAACTATTATTATATCAGAATAAATGAATTTATCATATTGGAAGTATTTCTTGCTTTTCTTTTTTTTTGTTTTGTTTTGTTTTGTTTCAATTACATACATGCCTCGGACAAGCAGTTTCATGTACATAATTGTACAATAAATGTTATTGCTCTATAATGCGTGAAGGTATATATATATATAATTATTTGCTTCTAGTAATGAGTGAATAACAATCTTCCTTAGGCTTAGATATATAAGTATTGTGAAGAATTTTGTTTAAAAATTAAATGCTTATATACTTAATGCCTTACAAATATACAGACATTACTTTATACAATTATTTTCTACATTATTTGTATGTGTGATAATAAATGAATAAATATGTGGACACGCGTACGTATATAACAATACAATTTAAAAAGGCATCAATTATTAATTTAGTTTATAGTTCCATCACATATCGCGCATGTGTGTGAGTGCGTGCACGTTAAGAGCTTGTTACACGCATATCCATCAAAATTTCCTTTTCTTGAAGCAAACAAAATATGTACGTTTGGATGAATTTCTTCGATTTCATTCTCGTTAAATTTATCGTCTAACAATGCGCAATGTATTAGTAATACAGAATATACCCGTGAGGGGGGAGACGTTGTAAATAAGGATAAGTATACTATAAGAAAGCTACAACACAGCGTTTATTTACTTGATCCTGAACGCATCCATCAGCTCGTTCACAGCGGCATTAGCAGCGGCCTGAGTCGCAGCCTGTGTCACTCTCTGTTGAAGGCCACCCCCTCGACTAAACATACCATGGACACTCAGCTTTTACTATAGATCTTACTTTATCAGTTTCTTAATTATTAAATTAGAAATTTAACTGATACAATATAGCTCTTTAATTCCATTATACATTAACACATATATATATGTATATATATACACATATATATACATATACATACTTTTTATTTGTTGAATGTCCTGAGAAGTATGTGTAATCTTTCAGTATGCATAGCTTCAATAATTATTAAATTAATTTACTCTTTCTTCTTTTTTTCTATGCTTATTTCAATGTTTTATGCTTGGTATCATTTATCTCTTCAGTTTTATTTATTAAGAAATTTCAATGCAGGCACCGACATATATTTGTCCTTTACATCGTAATTGACAGGTTTCACGTCGGCATCATGCTTTACATAACACTGACGTCATAGCGTGAGAAGGAGCTTTAAGCTTCTTTAAAATGAATATTTAGTTTATATTTAGATATAGGTATTATGATTTAGTTTTTGATAGACGAGACATTTATGTAGTAGTGTTCGTAGAGATACATGTGATGATACTAAAATATTATAGACATAAGTTTTTCTATTCTATTATCGCCCATAGCCCCAAAATGTCATGCTGTTAGCAAGTGAATGAATGTTTATCTAATTTCATCAGCACAAAACCATTTATTATAAGATGTTTTTAATCATATATACACATATCATGTACAATTCTCCAAACTAATTTACAATGAAACAAGAACAATCCTGCCTGACATTCCTCTTTTCTAGGAATGTGTAATTTGTACTAATGCTAGAACAAAGTTATAAGTGGAGGTATGCCCATCTCTATATATACATTATATAAACTATATTTTTGGGAAGCAACAATGAGTTACGAATTTAAAATTATATTCTTTTCTTTTTCAATATCAGAAAGATAAATGAAATAAAAAAGTATATAATTTATTGCATACATCTCATGCACAGTCATTTTGAATAGAGAGTAAAATATATGAAAAATTAACACTATGCAATAAGAACTATAACAATCTTGGAAATTTCTTTTAACTTAGTTTTTATTAATTTAATAAAATATGAATCCTTTAATAATGTTTATTGTATATTCATATGAGCAAACACTCCACTTTTTATTGACTGTATTATTATCTAATATATTCCGATACACGAATACATCGTACAGGAAATAGAGTTATTTTAACAAATAATGTCTTGTGTAAAATGTACACTGATAGATGCAACAAATATATGTTATATATATATATATATATATTACATATATATACATATGTATACATATATATATATGTATATATACATATATATATATATATATATATATATATATATATATATATATAGATTAGTAGCGAATAGGCGTGTTAGTGCGAAGACTTATTGTCGGCGCCTGCAATAGAAAGTGAAGTTAGCACCAAAGCCCCAATCGTATAAAATGCTATTTAATACAAATAGACGCGAATATTATTTAATAAAGCCACAATTTAATAATAATTTTATATGTATTTTAAAAGAAAAAATGGCTAATTTTTTTTTTTATGATAATATATCAACATATCAACTTTTGTGCAATATTTTTTTTAGTAATCAAATGAATCACAGCATACTGCAAATAAAAGGTGATTCCACTTTGCATTTCAAATCTTATCACTTATACGAATTTCTATATATTTCTTTTTGTTTTTATATATATATACATACACACTCATATATATCATAATTTACTTACGATGGAATAAGTGGTGGTGGTAGGCCTGGATTAGCTCGAGCTGGCGGTGGTCCACCAGGTCCAGGTCGATTAGGAATTGCTGGTGCTGGCCGCCCACTGGCAGGAACAGGCGGTGGTACTCGTGAACTAGAAAGAGGTGGTGGCTGTGTCACTCCACGTCTTGGCCCACCAGGAGATGGTGGCGATAACCTAAAGTGGATTCTTTTGCTAAAGATCATCTAATATCTATCGAATTGCTCTAGCTTTACTGACTTCCGTTGTTTTTGAATTATAATGAATTAAAAAAAAATCTATAACTAAAAAAAATATATATATACAACATATAACACAATCTGCTTGAAAATTAAATAAATTAAAAATATTATGTTCAACTAAATATTTTTAATAAGCGAGAAATAAAAACGAACGTAAAATAAATTAAAAATGTAATGAAATACCATTATTTTTTAGAATAAAATTAAATGATAAAAACATGATAAATCTTACCCAAGACTGTTGCAATGATGTTCAAGTATACAAGGCAAAAGTGCATAGTGTAAAATTCGATATAAACAAATTAGTTGATTTCTAATTTGGACAAAGAATAATAACATAATGATTACCTCGGATTTTCTCCAGAAGCTAACCAATCATTCTTCACTGGTGGTGGTACTGGTGTTGATACTGTAGCCATTGAAACATCTCCAATAATACGAAGAGCTTCTTTACATGCATGATACATGCGTAACATTTCTTCTCTTTTCTGTGCTTCTTCAGGAGATTCTTCCATCATAGATGCCTATAATCAAGTAAAAGTATAATAATAATGGTGTTAATGGATATAAAGGAAGTTAAAGTAATTCCAAAATGTGCATGCATGTGACTTGTATAAGGAAATTATTATGGATATAGGATTTGTTGGAGAGATAGGACTTACAATTACAGGATCAATGAAATTCTTGAATATATCTATTTTATCTTCTCTCAACTAGTAAAAAATACAGGAATATTTAATGGTTTTATAGGTATATATAGATTATATTAATATGTAATTCTCTTACTTGATCACCACTCGCATAAAGATGTGCCAATAATTCTCCATTAATAAAGTCTTTTGCATTATTAATAATAAGATGCATAATTGTTTTTGGGACAAGATCACGGGTAGTTTTTGTAACAATTTTCATATAAGAATCTACTAGATTCCTAATTGTTTCTACTTGACGTTCTAACTGAGGATCCATCGAAGACTGACCTTCTGTACCACCCTAAACATACAAATGAAATTGTGAAAATTTTGATATTTTTTTTGTATAAAAGAAATAATCAAATTTGTTTCATAAGGGGGAAAAAAAAACAAAAACAAAAACTATACTATCAACATTATAATTATATTGTAACTCTGCATTGTAATCAATACAAACTAAATATATTAAATTCTACTATTATATACATAACGTGTCAATTCCTAATAAATTATATAGTAAATATATATACATATATATAATTATTTCTTAGCAGCACTTAAATGATCATTTACATCATGAATAGTATTTCACAACGTTTTCAACATTATTATATTTCAATTAATTGAAGAGTTTATATATTTTTGATCAATTAAGTATTACTTAAATAATGTAATATGCTGAGTGGAGGTGTATGTATGTAATCATAAATGCGTGTTTTGTAAACAATGCAGTACAAATTCTATGCAATTTTACAAACCTCATATCCTTCCTTTAGTTGTTTAAAATTTTAAACAAAAAGATTTTATTACAGTTATGCAGACATTAGATATAATATATTGATTAAATTTTATCAAAAATGACAACATGCAGAATTTATGATTAAATTTTTTTAGACAAATCTTTAATTATTTTTATAAGCTAAACTAAATCACACCACCACACAGTTAAATAACACACAATTCGAAATAAAACAAGAATTCAGATCACTCTTTTCTTTTTTCATTCAACTCACCCTCTGCTTATCCTAAAATAAATCATAAAATACTGCTCTAATAAATTTAATACGATATTAATATTTCTACTAATATTTTTAATAGATATACCCTTATTTGAAAAACTTTTATGATCAGCTGAATGTAAAGTAATAAATAACTATTATTTCAAATAAAAGAAATAAAAATTTTCTTTTTATGATAAACATTGATATTAATATATCTAGTCACATATACATTGATATAATTCGAAATAATAATCTATAAAAAATTATAGATTTTATACACATAACATTTATTTATTTTTAAATGAAAGACAAATGACACATGATCTTAAATACAAAAAGAAAAAATATGTACATGTGTAAATTGAAATATGTACAAATATGTTACCTCTCCTTCTCCATTTGCTTGCTCTGTTGATTTTTCAGGATATACTCCAGCTCTGAGTAACGAAGCCTTCCAAGAATCAACATCATCCTGAGTTTCACAACTTAATTCAAGTTGTTTAAAATCTTTATAAACGTTCCTTCCTTCTGGATTGAATAATGCAAAGAGATATCGCCGAGACATGAAGCCTTGTTCTAAATCGCGCAGTTTCAAACCATCAAGAGGTAGCATATATTTCTTTTCACGTTCCTTTAAAATGAATAAAAAAATAAATATATGCATATAAAGATATGTATAAATGATGAATTCAAAATTTCAATTAATTTATTTCAACTGCATTTAAAAGTTTTAATTTTGTTTTTGAAAGATATTTACCTCTTCATCTTTAAACCAAGAAATACTTTCAGAGGTCAGAACAAACCAATAGTCTCTGGATCCTCCTTTCATAATACCAAGATTATGAATACACATATAACCTTTACGTATTACTTGGTTGCCTAAAATATGTCGTCCAGCTTTAACTGCATTTTCTGATGATTGCTGAGCACTGTAACATAAAAAAGGATATATAATGAAATGTATAAAAAGAGAAAATTTTATATATTCTTGTGCAAGGCCCACCATAATAGTGTTCCACGAAAATTGCACTAGTCACACTTTTATCGAACAAACTAGCAGGGTAAAAATCCTAGCATTAGGTTTAAAAAATTATGCAAACACGTTATATCATAATATTAGAGCAAAAGTTTTTAAATATATATCTTAATGACTATAGAAGAAAAATTGCAAAATAAATGTAATATAAATAAAAAAGTTATAAAAAGAAATGTAGAACATATGTGTATTTTAAATGAAGAAGTAACTTTCTTAGCATTCTTGAAAAAGCAAAATTTTGTGTAATATTTTTTTTTCACTGACTGTGAGAAACTTTATAACATTCTACTGTGCCACATCTTGAAAATATAAAATGCTGTAAAAAAATTTTAAACATGCAAACATGTATATATCATATTCCTGTAATTTTTAAAATAAGCTTGTAAATATACCTTGTAACAATCATTCAAAAAATAGTATTTACACACTGCAAAGAGAACTATTTACACCTGCAATCGAAGCAACTTCTTATTAACATAATGTATTGCTTAAGCACATTTTAAATGTATGAAATGGTTTGGAATATGAAACAAAAACGTAGAATTGATGTTGCTGTGTTTAGTACATTATTTTTGTCTAAATATTCATGAATGACTTACATTATTTCGTATACCAATTTCTTGTTTTATTTAAAAATAATTTATTAATATATAACACATAATGTAATATGTAATGAAGATACAAATAAAAAAGAAATAATTCAAATTGGAATAGAGTTCTAAGAAGTATCATTTTATATTTAAGATCATATTATAATCAATATATATTAAAAAATTTTAAAGAAAAACAATCTTCCATAATTATGCTCCTCAAAGTACTAATATCACATCCATCATAAATAATAAATCATATAAGAAATGTATAGTTAAAAATCTATAGTATTATTAAACAATAAATGAAAATAAATGATTAGAGAGCACGTGTGGGAAAATATTAAATTTCAATTAAAAAATAATATACCATAGTGCAGTTTTTGTTATAATAAACTTTATCACAATGGTATATATAATAATATGAAAATATTTTTTTGGATGTCTTTTATACATTCATCATAAGGAATAATATTAAATCAAGCCAGAGATTGCTGTCGGTTGCGATTTATATATATATATATATATATATATATATATATATATATATATATATTATATATATATTATATATTATATATTATATATTATATATATATATTATATATTAAATATATAATTACATATATATTACATATATATTAAATATATATTATTACATATATAATATATTGTATATATAATATATGTAATATATATACATATATACATATATATATATATATAATATATATATAATATATATATTATAATAAAACATCATTGTAAGGTAAAAGCCAAAAACATTATCGGAAGGATAAGCATAAGAGAAAGCGTGAAAATGGAAGGAACAAAAAATGTAGTGGAAATTTTTTTGTCAATGTATTTTAACATTTCTTACCTTGCATTATGGCTACTGGCCGCCGCGCTGCCGATACAATTAAATCATTTTTTTAATTGTAAAATATAAAGAAGTCGATCATGAATAGAGACATTTGTGGGGGAAAGTATATATGTTATGTTGATCAGAGCAAGGCATATATGATATAATTCATGCATAAAAATTTTTCTTTATAAGAAATATTCGTTCAATTAATATCAGTAATATAGAGAAGTATATTTATAGTATATGTTTAAATATGCCTTACCCAGTATGGTACTAGAAGTTAAATCAAGAAGTTTATGGCATTATTTTTCAGCAACATCATTATTGTTATTTTAAAATTTATTTGTCTTCATCATTTAGACTGTTTGCTTGTACAATGAATATGAAATAAATACTTAAAATGAATAATTATCTAACTAGTACTGATAATATATGCCAGAGATATTTTTTGCTTTTTTTTTTTTTTTTTTTTTTTTTGGTAATAAGCAGGATTGCGTTATGTATTTTAGATATATTCTTATAAATGAATCCCAATTTTCTCACAAAAAAATTGTTATATAACAGATACAAGAATAAATTTCATTGCAAAGATTGTTAACAAGTACACACATATTAATTAGGCATTTAGGTATAAAATCATGCAAAAGGAAGTTAAATAAGTACTTATTGTTAAAATTTCATGTATCTTTCCTAAAAAATATCATTTAATATTTATATACATATAAGTGAGAATATCTCTGGTATTACATATGATATCATTCTATGTTTTATATGTGTAAAATGATTTAAACCAAAAAGATGCATATATGTAATATTAAAAATAAATGATACTAAAAGAAAAATATTTGCATTATAACCAAAATGACAAAAAAAAAAAAAAAAAAAAAATAAAAAAAAATAAAAAAAAATAAAAAAAAAAAAAAAAAAAAAAAAAAAAGCATAAAAAACTTTCACAGATATATATCACACCTGAGCAGCAGCGAATGAGTACAATAAATGCGCGAAAAAGCATTTGAAGCAATGAAGTAGTTATTACTAAAGAGCTAAAATTACATAATTTTTTATGAAGCAAAATGTATTGAATATATTCGCATAAATTAACTAGATTGAACCAAATGGATAATATACTGCATGCACTGATCGTGAAAGAAGCATTTTCTAAGAAGACAATTAAAAATAAATAATAAAAAATAAAACAATTTTACAGCTAAATCAACAAATTAAATTATTCATATATTGCACCTAATAAAATTCGTACTTGTGAAATATTGTTTCTATGAGCACTCTTAAATGTGAATTCAATAATGTATTATTGCTCACTTTAACATTAGAATGTGTTATCATGCATTGTATTACTTTAATATCAGTAGTAATAGGTTTTATAAGTATAATAAAATAATTTTGTTCAAATATAACGTATATAAGTTAATCAAAATAATATCTATTATGTAAGTCTATTATTTATATAAAAAAACAAAGTTTTTGTTTAAAACGAAATAAAATCTTTAAATATTATTCATTAATTATTTCCATGATTTGACACAAACTTGAGGATTGTTTGATTGTTTTTGTGTGTGTGTTTTTTTATATACTACAATTTCTAACTTTAGCGATGATATAGACTAAAACATAAGATTTATTCTACAGAATTAGCTAGTTGATTTTTTAAATAATGAAATATTTTGATTGATATTTTGTTTTTTATGTGAAAATCTAATGTTCTTTTCTCTCCCCTTTCATATTGTAAAGTAAGCATCAACTCTATGTGGAATGTTATTAATATAACATTAAAAATGTTTGGCATACATCATTGAATATTATATATTATATCAACTATATATTGTAACTCATATATTAAAATAAAATTAAAGAAAATATAATAGCAGGCACATATGTAACAAAAGCCACACACAAAAGTGATTATACCAAACTTGCAAAAATTTAATTTCTTGTATCATATTATTTACTTTCATGAATACTAATTACATCTAAAATAATTTACAGACAAAGAGTATTCAAATGAAACTTACTTGGCAAAACCGATAAAATCTTCATGGTTTGTATTCATATAGGCAAGCTCACAATCCACTAAAAGTACTAGTTGCTCTTTACACATTTGTTCACGTTGTCGAACATGAGTAGCTATAATACGTTCCGTTTCTTCTCTTAATCTAGGATAACGTGACATCTACAATATAAAATTATAAGTTAGTAAATTTCATGTGACAATTATGGCAAGTTAAAAACAAAAATAAAAAAATAAAAAAAAAAAAAAAAAAAAAAAACCAATGAAGAGGAAGAAAAATATAACGTACCCTATCTGTACAAATACGAACAACATTACCAAGCTCTTGTATGACTAGGTCCACACATTTTAGGCTAGGCTCTTTAAGCCTATTAATTTGCTTCTTGACTATTGCCTCAAAGGCCATATCTGGCGTGAATAATCCTACCCTAATACCTGTATCATTAAGAAATAGTATTTAAAATTTTGTTATTTAATATAAAAGAATAGGAAAGAATGTTACACACATAATTAAAAATTTAACTAACCATGAATATTTCTGATAGCAAAAGCAATTTCTCTTCTGAGTTCTTTTTCATCAAATTCCATTTTAACAATTTCAAATGGAAAACGTTCGTGAAATAATCTGTTTATTTTTGCTCCCCCACTAAGTTCATTCGTGTTAATTTGCGCTGAACCAGAACCTTCTATAGTCCGTTCAAAATCTGACTGAAGTTGTTGTATCATCCTTAAAAATATTTAAGATGAAATATAAAAGCTTATGTATCAAATGTTAATATTATGGGTAGAGAGCCTTGATATTATGCAAAATCAAAAGCAATTACATAATCCTATGTAACAAAATTACTTCTTTATTCATATATTGTATTATATATTATATAACATATTTATATATTGTATTATATATTATATAACTATATTTATATATTATATAACATAAAATTATTTTCATTTAAAAAAGTATTTCATTAAGTGAATTAAATCATAGACTTTGCGCAAAAGCTTTCTATTTTTCAAAAAAATATCATGCATATTGTCCAATGTATCAAATCGTTAGTATGTTATTCAATTTCATTTTTCTGTCTGCATTCAAAATACAAAATTATTTCATGTCTTCAAATAATAAGTAAAGTGTAATAGTGAAACTATTTCATTGAAATATATAAAATGATATTTTTAATAGATCTGTTTATTTAATTTTTAAGCAAACAACACACAATCTATCAAAAAATCTTCGAATGCATAAAAAGAAGATACCTACATATACATATGAATTGATCTGAAAAATAAAAGAATAAAAATAACAAATAATTGTCTAAAATGTCAGGACCCTCCACCCACAAGGAATTTTTTTTAAAGAATAAACTAGATTGTATATCTTTTGCTATGCATAGTTTAAATATTATACAATTCATAGAAAAATTAAGGAACATATCTATGTAATAAAAATTTACTGTCACTTACTGTAACATAGCCTTTGTTTTAATAGCAGGATCATCTGGTCTAAAATGTTTATACTGTTCAACATCTTTTTCCAGTGTAAGAAGCTGTTTTTGTAATCTATCTCGTAAGGCAGGAAGGGTATCCCTTATGTGATTTGTAAGTTGTTGATTTAGAACTCGTTGCAGATACGGTGTACCCAATCTGTCTGCTAAGTGTCGATAAGACGGGTGGCTTGTGTAAAAAGATAAATATTTTTTACATTTGAGAATATATTTACCAAGGTAACATAAATAATTATATTAGTTATTTACCTAAGAAAAAATTTTCTTTCAGCTGCTAAAGCATTTTTGATATCCTTACGCCCTTCAATATCTTTTTGACTTCTATTAACAACACCTATATAGCCTCTTCGCAAAGGTAACAGCTTATTCTCCAAGATATCTCTTGCATCAGTACCATCATCCATAAGATCCAATTTAGTAATAACTCCGATAGTACGTACACCTTATCAATTATTTCATATCGTTTTTATATATATTTATGAAATTATTTGATATATATTATCATATAGAAAAAAGTACCTTGTGGATCAACCTCTTTAGCAAGTTTAAGAGCATCACTGTTTGCCAAGTCGGTATTAGCCGGTGTAACTGCCAATATAAGACAATTTTCTCTTCTAATGAATTGAAAAATCATTGCTTTAATTTGAGCTTCTATATCAACTGGTTGATCTCCAATTGGCACTTTTGTAAGACCAGGTAGATCAATCAATGTAAGATTGAGAACTATGAAAGAAGTAATTCCTCCATTAATTCTAGTCATTTGATTATCATATGAATATAGTAATAAAATTATAATTACCATTGGGAGAGTATACTCTCAAATTTATAGGTATATTAGAAATACCCTTATTACTGCCAGTTACTCTATCTGTTTCAGATTCTATTTCTTTTCTTACTTCATCAAAGTCCACGAACTTCTTGCCTTTACAGTGCAAAAATTCTGCAAATTCTGTAATCACAAAAAAAATATTCATTAATATTATCCTTGTTGTAACTAAAATATCCGTACGTAAATCTTTTATAAAAAAAGATTCAGATAGAAAATCTGCATAGAAAGAGAAATGGCAATGTACTGAATATCCTGTTTGTTATAAACTCAAATATATACAGGAAGCTGTGATAACTGAGAACAACTATGTACACAGTTTGCATATTAATTTTATCAAATACAAATATAATTTTTCTCTTTGTATATTTTTCAAATATACTTTGGTAATGAGATTATGCCTGTGATGACTCACCCGTAGTGCTATTAATCAATTGTAAGATGAGTGGTCTTCTAGTTACAATACCAGAACCTCTTGGTAAGAAATCCCTGTAAAAAAAAAAAAAAGAAAAAAAGAGAAAAAAAAACAAGAAAAAACCATTAATTTTTTTTAACAATTATTACTGAAAAGATTATTTCAAAGAAGGAACGAAATAATTAAGAAAAAATAACATAACAATTAGAAAAAAAAATATATCAAATTATACCATAATAATAATTTACCCGCTAAGAGACTATATATTAATTCTTTCACAAGATAAAATTAAATGTCATTAGTGAGTTTCATAAATTAGTCAACAAATAATTATGACATGCCTAATATTTTTTTTGTTGTTGTTAATTCTTCTTTCAGGTATATACACACATATACACATATATATATATATATGTATGTATGTATATATATATATATCATACGTGCGTACAGTTTGTCTTCTTAATCATAACAAAACTTTCTATAGTACTTGAACAGAAATAATGAATATTTTTCCGACGACATAAAGAGACGGAAGTTTGTTGTTGAATGTAAGATAAAATATTTCCGTTAAGAAATGAACTCGGTAATTGATACCACCAGCTGATTTCATATTTAAGTGGTACGATTGGAACAATGATACGTTTGAATTTCTGAAAGCGGCGATGACTGTCTTCATTTATTAAAAAACACAGAAAAGAAGAAGAAGAAGAAGAAGAAGAAGAAGAAAATGAAGGAAAAAACCATTGACGTTACCTTACGATGATATCATGAAATAATAAGAAAAGAAACATAATTAAGAGAGAAATTACGCGAGAGAAGGGAAAGACGTTCGATATGTCACCGTGATGGCGGTCTTCTACGATTTTAGTGATACTATTGATCGACGAGAACAATTAATGGATAAGAGAAGGATAGAGCAAGATCGTTAGAAATAATAATAATAATAACAATAATATTAATAATAATAATAACAATAATAATAACATTACTATTATTATTTAATAATTAATATTGATAATAATAATAATAATAATAATAATAATAATAATAATAATAATAATAATAATAATAATAATAATAATAATAATAATAATAATAATAATAATAATAATAATAATAATAATAATAATAATAATAATAATAATAATAATAATAATAATAATAATAATAATAATAATAATAATAATAATAATAGAGAAGAATTTAAGAATTGAAACGAAAGTAAAATGTAGTACTGCCCGCCTCCAAGGCGTGGCGTTTAATAAAGATAGAAAAATTGAGATAAGTACGTTAGATCGATTCTTTGATGACGATTAACGATTGAATCCTAAAGACGCAATGAGATGCTCACGCGGTTCATATATCACGATTGTTTTTAAGAAAAGAAATAAGAAAAGAAAAGAAAAGAAATGAGTTTGCGATACTTACTTGCCAACAAAGTTTTCGAGTACGGAACTTTTTCCCGCACTCTGACCGCCCACTACCGCGATTTGTGGTAAATCAAGTTGCATGTGGACCCCGAGTTGCGTGAATGCATCTTGCAGCTTGTTCACGATCGGGATCAGTTGTTCCATACCCGTATTCCCAGCCATTTTTTTCTTTCTTTAGATCCTATCACGAATTCACTCCACGTTAAGGAATACGATGACCTCTCTACCTTGATTCTGATCTTATTATGTTTAACTTCTCTACGACAATAATGACACAGAATCGACACACTACCTTCGATAACAGTATTAATACTAGAAGTTGAAACAGCAATAATAGCAGCAGTAGCAGCAGCACCAGCACGCACACCAATACCACTACCACCGCCGCCCCCTCACGCACGCAATCCTCGAGGGTAACTGCCACAGAAATGAGATCCTAGACTCGTTTTTCCTGCAGGTATCTCTCAACGCTGTCAAAATGGCCGATTTCGCGAGGGAGTATATTTCTTTCTCTCTCTCTCTCTCTCTCTCTTTCTCACTCTCTCTCTCTCTCTCTTTCTCTCTTTCGTTGACGCGCCAAATTTCACCGCATCTTTTCTGAAAAGAAAGAAAATCCCTTTTCTTGTTCTATTTTTTATTTTTATTTTTTTTATCCCCAACGATACATATATATATATACATATATGTTACATGTATATATATATATATAGTTTTATTTAACGCGTATTGTGCGAGATATAACGTAACCGACGCTCAATGTAACAACTCACCGTGGCCACTACCTTCGTATAAATGAGATCTAGCGTACAGACTCGAACGAATGTAACGTCGCTTCAATCGATAATCGAAGCGTGCGCACTATCGCACCGCCTCCCTTGTGACCCACTTTTTCTCCTTCCGAGATAAAATCCATATCGTCTTCCCGTTAGTGACCTTTTTACTTCATTATTCCGATCGATTTCAACGTTCTTCCTAATTTCTTATGAAAAATACCGATATCTATCTTTCTCTCTCTCTCTCTCTTTCTTTGTCTCTTTTTCCTATTTATTTCTTTCTCTATTATATTCATAGTTCTCTTTTTATTTCTCTTTCGTTTTCGATTGATTTTAACGATCGTCTTGAGAAATTCAAATGTACGCGGGATAAACATTTGAACAACGAAAGTGAACTCATCCGCTATTTTTTTCCTTCCTTCTTCTTTAATCTCTCTCTCTTTCTCTCTCTCTCTTTTTTCGATAATCGAAGAATACAGTTTGTTGGAAACGCCAAGTATACGGAATATACTCGAATAATCGAATTAATCGAATTCTTATAAATTTATCGATTCTTTTTAATTATTCTTATAAATTCATTGTTACGAAATTATCCTTTAAATATCTCTAATGTAAACGATCAAATGAGAATATAGACAAAAGAATTATTACTATCGTATTTCATACTAAACTATAAAGTATAAATTTAATTTGTATTTAATATATTGATTCCTTGAATCCATCTCTCCGACATTTTCATCCGACATTTTATTTCGGGTCAAGCAATTTAGCTATATATTCATAAGGCGCATACGCAAGATAAAAGGTTTCATTAAAATGCTCTGCATATTGAAACGCGTCCAAAAAGATCGTATATATGCTCACTGAGCATTCTAGACATCAATAGAATTTATTTAACCAATATTCATAGATTTAATTTGCCTATTAATGAATTGTATATGTATATATGAATTGTATATCGTATATATGTATATGTATATATATATATGTATATATATATTATATAGGTAAAATGATGTTGTTCGTCAATATACCTTAAGATTGCTTTCGTAAATCTTATTTTAATGAATAGAAATACAGTGCTCTTGTTTAATGTAGTTACGTATCATTTTTATATACATACATCGCTGGTTGAATGAGGGCGCGACCGGTATTTTCCAGTAGTACAAATCCAAAATGTCAGACATCGATAAATGGATAGATATTGCAAAAGAATGCAAATATCTTCCGGAAAATGATCTTAAGGTAATTAATATCTATGAGATTATGTTTATTATGACATTGTGAACAGGTTATTTGATTTATATAAAAGATAACCTTATTGGTTGATAATCATAGGATTACTTTAAACAGTGTATTCACTTCAATAACTGTAATAATTTTGTTATTATATAGAAACTCTGTGACATGGTATGTGATTTATTATTGGAAGAATCCAATATTCAACCTGTATCTACTCCGGTAACGGTTTGTGGCGATATCCACGGACAGGTAAGTGGAAAATTTTAAATCTAACCTCATAAATCCAACTATGTAATTACATATATTGTTTATATTACGTTTTTGTATTGTTATTTCTCTTTTAATATTTCTTATGAATGCAAAATTAAATAATGTTTTTTTTTGTTTTTTGTTTTTTTTTTCTTTTTATCAATGCTATCTCAGTTTTATGATCTGGAGGAATTATTCCGTAATGGAGGACCTGTGCCTGATACAAATTATATATTCATGGGTGATTTTGTGGATAGGGGCTATTATAGTTTAGAAACATTTACACGCCTACTCACGCTTAAAGCAAAATGGTCTGATAGAATAACATTACTCAGAGGGAATCATGAATCCAGACAAATCACACACGTCTATGGATTTTATGGTTGGTAGGACATTATATAATTCTTTTAATTATTAAACCAATATATAAGATTAAATACATAATCTTATTTATATATTAATTAATACTTATAATACTCATGTAATTGAATATGATTTGGCAATAGATGAGTGTCAGAACAAATATGGCAATGCAAACGCATGGAAGTATTGCTGCAGAGTCTTTGATTTGCTCACAGTTGCTGCCGTAAGTCGACATATTTTTGATTCTGTATTATAAGATAGAATTATAAGAACTATTGATCATTATAATTTACAAAATTTTTCAGTTAATCGACGAACAAGTACTTTGCGTACATGGTGGATTATCTCCAGCTATTTCAACATTAGATCAAATTAGGACGATTGAAAGAAATCAAGAAATACCACATAAAGGTTTCAGAGAATAATTTATAATTTTAATATAATATATTCATTCTTTTTATTCGTATTCGTTTTTCTTTAGGTGCTTTCTGTGATTTGGTATGGTCCGATCCAGAAGATGTGGATGGATGGACGGTTAGCCCACGAGGTGCTGGTTGGCTGTTTGGAAGCAGAGTTACTTATAAATTTATGGAAATAAATGACCTTAAGCTTATTTGCAGAGCTCATCAACTGGTGCATGAAGGTGAGTACTCGTTAAAACATCAGAATTTTGTTGTATGTTCTTTTTTATATCATGTATAATTTGTAGCAAGTTATTATATTAATTATTTTGTTTATAGGCTATAGATACATGTTTAATGACAAATTAGTGACAGTCTGGTCAGCTCCAAACTACTGTTACAGATGTGGCAACATAGCTAGTATTTTACAGTTTACAACAGTAGATCATAGATGTCCAGTGCTGTTCCAGGCAGTACCTGATTCAGAAAGAGTGATTCCACCCTTAACCACAACTCCATACTTCTTGTGATTTAACTTAGTAATTCATTTGTTTGGATGCAGAGGAGAGATATCTGTGTCTAGACTCAATGGAATTACATGATTTTTGGATAATGAATCCAGGCTGGTACTATGACGGAGCATAAAATTCCCTAAAATATATTACAGAGTATTACATTGCTTAGAATTTTGATATCCTTTTGTTTTTTTTTCATTTTTTTTTCTTTTTTTTTTTTTTTTTTATTTTCATTTAAGTTTTTAATGCTTTTCTAATCGAACTGTATAACCTGGCACAGACAATTTACAATGTAATTATTATGAAAAAAAATTTGAAGATTTTTAAAGGATTTTATCAACTTTTGTATATTAAAAATTTTTATACTTAGCATCTGCCATTGCATCAGCCTGATTTCTTTAATTTAAAGATATTTTCCATTGGAATAAATGTGAACACTCTATGGTCTAGACGCTTCGCTGTCTACTGTGTACATTCTATAGAGCATTCGTATCTCAGAGCAATGTTGTGGACATATTGACACGAAGGCTGAGGCTTTTTAAATAATTTATGAACATAATTAATTAATGGTCCAACTATGTGTGGATGGATAAATAAAAAATGTCATTTAAACATTCCGGCATATAAGACAGGCGCTCTGAGTACAATCGATGCTTCATTGATATTATGATCGTTGTGCGTAGAATTCAGGTTTATTCAAGCGTAAGCGTATATACTATCGTTAAGGTCTTCCTGAGTAAATGATACATTTCTGATTTAGTAAATATACTGGTATGCTGCGTGCAATTTTTTTATTCTAGATGCGCAATCAGTGTTCTTAGCAGCATAAATTTGGCGTTTATGCCATGGTACAAATAGTGTATAGCAGTAGCCAAAGTTTTTCTGCCTAGGTAAGGGTATCTATGAGAGGATTGTATTATCTGTAATTGTTTTTTTGTCTCTCTTCTTTTTTTTTTTTATATTTTTTTTCCTTTCTTTTTTCTCTTTTCCTTTTTTTTAATCGTTTTTACGCACATGACATTTCTTTTTATATCGTCTTTTAAATTCTGGGCTCATTATTAATCATCTGCAAAGTACTCTAATCTATCGGTATTCATTCAGAAAGCTCGGCCTTTTTAGCCATTTCTCTCTTCTATAAGTACAAAGCAATAGTTTTGAATATTATTATATTCTCCGCGTCTTTGTACAGTTTCCACGTTGTATGCCAAATTGCTGTTGTACTGAATAATCGTATTAGCTAGTTTCTCATAAGTTCATTACTATAGGGAGCAACTTGTAAAAATCGAGACCCTTAGCAATGTGCCTCTCTAAATTGATAAGCGTTTGTGTAATATAATGATACGGTATCGATACATAATTAATGGGAACGCACTGGCCATTGCGTATTATAAGCCTGAATTCTGACCATCGATTGATTAGCTCACGGTATTCCTAATTGATCACAGACCCGATAAATATCGCATTGGCATTTGGCACTGGCTGTCAAGTTGGAAATTATTCTATTTTGAATTTTGTGATATAGATCGAACGAGGCATGTGAACGTTATGTCGACGTTTATAACGATTCTCCTTGTCGAAATCGTTCGAAGATGTTTTAATAACTTGTTACTTCAAGGAATATAATAAACATTTGAACAGTGCCTTCAGAACTATAATACGACACGGTCTACTAGAAATAAATACTTTCTACCGACAGATAGTAATAGAAGTAAGACGAATTATATGAATGCCAGAGAGTTCAACAAGGATCGTATACATACGTATATAAAAGATCTCTTTATCCGTTTCCGTTAAAGAACGTCTAACGAACATCTAACTCTTCTAATGAAATTAATTGCACATATCACGTATTTTTTATATTATATCACTTATGTGCTTTAGTCGACAGTTTTACATTTTAACTAATTGAACTTTCGTGGCGGTCGATATGAGTCGCAACCCGTCCGATTCTTCATTTTATTTACATATCTCTTATATATCATTTTTATTATCTTTGTTCGAAAAGTGCAAGAGCAAAAAGATAGAAAGAGAGAGAGAGAGAGAGAGAGGGAAGGGGGGAGAGAAAGGATGAAAGAAAGAAAAAAAGAAAAAGGGGAGTAAGATGGCCCAGAGATAGATAGAGGAAGAGAGATGAAATGAAAGAACATAATAAAATAAAAAAAAAAAAAGAATAAGTAAATAAATAAATAAATAAATAAATAAATAAATAAATAAAAGAGGAACCCGTCTTTGAGATAAATAAGTAGATTTAAAATAAAAATTCCGACCATTCGATGTATTCGGTTTTCGTAATCAGAATTGAAGGGGAAAAGAAAAAAAAAGAGAAAAAAAAAATGAAAAA